GCCCGGTGCGCATCTGGGGGACGTCTCCGGATTCGATTGACGCGGCGGAGGATAGGAAGCGGTTTGAGGCGATGCTGAACGAGCTGGGGATCAACCAGCCGCCCGGGGGGATTGCACGCAGCGAGGAGGATGCGCTGGCGGTGGCGAAGCGCGTGGGGTATCCCGTGGTGGTGCGGCCGTCGTATGTGCTGGGAGGGCGGGCCATGGAGATTGTGTATAACGACGCGGCGCTGCAGAAGTACCTGGTCACGGCTGTTGAGGTGGACCCTGAGAGGCCCGTTCTCGTTGACAAGTACCTTGCGGTGAGTGGGAGGGTGCTTGCATAATCTGGTGCTGGTGGGGTTGGTGGTGGTAGGCTTGGTGGTAGTGTATAACGACGCGGTGCTGCACAAGTGTCTGGTGACGGCTGTCGAGGTGGACTCTGAACGCCCCGTGCTGGTTGACAAATACCTCGCGGTGAGTGGTGTGATGGTTGCATGAGATGATGAGTCTATGGCTGGTGGTGGTTCCGGGATGATGGGTGCTCCCCCTCATCCGTGTAGCCCCATGACTCAACCCTCCATTCCCCCCCTCCATATACAACCTGATTTTCCAGAACGCCACGGAGTTGGATGTGGACTGCCTGGCGGACAGCACGGGTGCAGTGACCATAGGCGGCATCATGGAGCACATTGATCAGGCGGGCGTGCACTCCTCATCCCGCACCCCTCTCTCCCTCCCCCATACCCCCGCCCTTGCATCTTTCAGAACGCCACAGAGTTGGATGTGGACTGCTTGACGGACAGCACGGGTGCAGTGACGATAGGCGGCATCATGGAGCACATCGAGCAGGCAGGCGTGCACTCGGGCGACTCTGCGTGCTCCCTACCCACCCAGACCATCTCAGAGGATGCTCTAGCCACCATCCGCGACTGGACCACCCGCCTTGCTCGCAAGTGAGTTGGTTGCCATGGAATGGGACAGGGCAGTGACTGGTCACTTGGACTGGTCACTTGTGAGCCAACTCAGCAGTCGAAACGCACCTGCCTGTCATGGGGCGGCCTTGTGATGTCTGTCAGGCGTTGGCGCACACACCACGCTTTTTTTAGAATTCTCAACATAGTCCAAGTCAACCCTCGCACCATGCACATGCCACCACCTGCTCTCAACCCCTCCCTCCCCCCACTCACCCCCTGTCCCACAGGCTGAACGTGGTGGGGCTGATGAACTGTCAGTACGCAGTGATGCCAACAGGCGAGGTCTACATCATTGAGGCCAACCCCCGCGCCTCCCGCACCGTGCCCTTCGTGGCCAAGGCCATTGGCCACCCGCTCGCCAAGTACGCCTCGCTCGTCATGGCGGGGAAGACCCTGCAAGAGCTGGGCTTCGACAAGGAGGTGATCCCCAACCACGTGTCCGTCAAGGAAGCCGTGCTGCCCTTTGACAAGTTCCCCGGCTGTGACGTGCTGCTGGGGCCCGAGATGCGGTCCACTGGAGAGGTTATGGGGCTGGATGCGACTTTTGAGAAGGCGTTTTTGAAGGCGCAGGTGGCGGCGAATCAGCGGCTGCCAACTGGCGGGTCGGTGTTTGTGAGCCTGAACGATCTGACCAAGGAGAGCGGCGTGGAGGTGGCGAAGAGCTTTGTGGATCTGGGGTTCAAGATACTGGCCACTGAGGGCACGGCCAATGTGCTGGAGGATGCGGGCATTGAGGTGGAGAGAGTTCTCAAGCTGCACGAGGGCCGCCCCCACGCTGGTGAGTGCCTTGCATGCATGTGTGCCCTGAGATCTGTGAGTGAAGTGTGCATCAGGTATGCGTGAGATGGGCGCGAGTCTTGGTTCTGCACTCTTCTCATCGTGGTCTCGATTGTTCCTTTGACTCCATTTGCCCTCACCCCTCCATATGCCCTCATCACTGAGCAATGCAATCCTCTCCCTTGTTTTCCTCCCCCCCACCAGGCGATCTGGTGTCCAACGGGCAGATCCAGCTGCTGGTGATCACCTCAGCGGGCGATGCACTGGACCAGAAGGACGGGCGGCTGCTGCGCCGCACAGCGCTGGGCAAGAAGGTGCCCATCATCACCACCATGGCCTCTGCTCGTGCCACCGTCAAGGCCATCCGCGGGTTGATTGAGTCGCCGATCGAGATGAAGGCCCTGCAGGATTATTATGTTGCTGGGAGCAAGGAGGCTATTGCTGATGCTGCTGCCACCGCTGCTGCTGCGGCGGCAGTGAGTCGGTAAAGGGGTGTGCTGCGCGTGGGGGGTATGGGTTTCATGGAGATTTGCGAGTGTGGTTTGTGATAATCCCTAGGGATGACGTTAGTACTGTACTCTGTTTGACAGTACAAGTTATTGGGCAGGGCTTGCCCCAGATGTTAGTTACTGTAATTGACGTGTGCAAGCCTGCCCATACCATAAGATATACCGGTATCCCTGCAATAATTCCGCCGGATGGATTCTGATGGCACAGCAAACAGAGAGTGCACGCATGCTGGTACCGTATCATTTCTTACCTCCAAACAAAACCATTGACATAAGCGCTCACACTGCTGTGAATACCGAAGCAGCATAAAAAATGTTGCCCAATGACCACTTACTTGCTCTCAATTGGCACATCTGGTGTGAACAGGAAAGGCTTGGTGTTGCAGCATAAATATCAAATGGCTGAAAAAAATATGTACTGATATTTTTCGTTTCAGTGTGTATTGTTTATCCGTCCGCGTTATTCGTCGTGAAGTAACCAGACCGCACCGTTACCAGACCTATTTTGGCGATGATTTTTCATGACGAAAACCACATCACCTGCGACATTTGATAACCATCGACAAACCCACCTGGCACTGGAGCGCACCTGACCAGCAGCAGATGTCCAATCAGCGACGCCACCTCGTCCTTACCGTGACAGCACTCCGACGACACGGGGAGACATTCGTTGCCTGGTTGGTGGAGATCCGAACCACATGAGGTTCCTGCTATTGCCACGAGGACGGAGTTTGGTAGAGATTCCGAACCTGGATTCCCACCAACCACCATTGTCGAACCTGCAACCCTCACTGCATAATAATCGGAGAGTGATCCATCAGACTCTCACAATTTCTTACCTTCAGAAACCAGCAATTTCTGAAGGCATTTTTAGCGAAGTTCCAACATCTGTGAGCATCTCATTTGCAATTTCTTGGTAGTAATATCCGCATCTGACTGACTTTCCCGTGTTCAGCCATGGCTTCCGAAGCTCCTGTCAAGAAGGCTTTCATCACCGGTATTACTGGCCAAGATGGATCTTACTTGACAGAATTTCTGCTCTCCAAGGGCTACGAGGTCCACGGTATCATCCGTCGTTCTTCCAACTTCAACACCCAGCGTCTCGACCACATCTACCGTGATCCTCACGTGTCTTCGGCTAAGCTGAAGCTTCACTACGGTGACTTGTCCGACGCTACCGCTCTTCGTCACTGGATTGACCAGATTAAGCCAGATGAGGTCTTCAACCTCGGTGCTCAGTCCCACGTCGGTGTCTCCTTCGAGAACCCCGAGTACACCGCCGATGTCGTCGGTACGGGAGCGCTTCGGTTGCTCGAGGCTGTCCGCAACCACATTGAGAACTCCGGACGCACCGTTAAGTACTACCAGGCTGGATCTTCAGAAATGTTCGGCGCTACCCCCCCTCCTCAAGACGAGAAGACTCTCTTCCACCCCCGGTCGCCTTATGCCGTGTCCAAGGTGGCTGCTCACTGGTACACCGTGAACTATCGCGAGGCTTACGGCATGTTCGCCTGCAACGGTATTCTCTTTAACCACGAGAGCCCGAGGCGTGGTGAGAACTTCGTGACGAGGAAGATCACCCGCGCTGTTGGTCGCATCAAGGTTGGGCTTCAAAAGAAGCTGTACCTTGGCAACCTGAAGGCTTCCCGTGATTGGGGTTTTGCCGGCGACTACGTCAAGGTAAGACAACTGTTCATTCTATATCCCTTACCCTTCCCGTTGCGATTAAAGAACCTGTTTGTGCTTTAACCATTTGTCGGAACTGCTTCCTCTTCCTCCATTCCCGTTTTTTTCTTTATTACACCGGTTTCTTCCCTTACATAACATAAAATAACTGAGATCGCATAGTTAAGTGAACAGCACCTAACGAAAAGTGTCCTGGCTGATGAATTCCTTGCTGATTTTACAGGGAATGTGGCTGATGCTCCAGCAGGAGCAGCCCGATGACTACGTGCTGGCCACTGAGGAGTCATTCACTGTGGAGCAATTCCTGATCGCAGCCTTTGGCTACGTTGACCTGGACTGGAAGGAGTACGTCGAGATTGACCCCCGCTACTTCCGCCCGTCCGAGGTGGACAACCTGCGCGGGTCCTCGGCTAAGGCCCGGGAAAAGCTTGGGTGGAAGCCTGAGGTGGACTTCAAGAAGCTGGTGGCGATGATGGTTGACTCGGATTTGGACAAGGCTAAGAGGGAGCAGGTTTTGGTCGAGAACGGCTTCTTGGACAGCAACTTCCAGCCCTAAGCTAGGATTGGGAACCTGGGATCTTAGGTGGGGTTATTTATGTGATATTTCACAATGGATAGTGTGACTAATTTGCACAGTTCTCCCTGTGCAATTGTAAAGCTTCTGTGACCTTTGCCCTTGAGCGTCTGTGATCTGCTGGTTGCGGCCTGCCCCCGAAGTCATGAACGTTCGTGTAACCTCTTCCGCCCATACAGCTCCGGGCATTCCAAAGGTACTGCATGGGAGACTCAAGAATGGTCACTTCGCCATGCAGCTGACTGAACAAGAGGACAGCCTCCTTGACACATGAGGTAGGAACTGAGACTGGGCATCTCTCCATTGGCTTACAAATAGAAACACAGTGGCAGGAGTTTGGACATGAGTGCTGTGCTGACAGACATGCCTCTACTCTACCTGATACAGCAAAAACAACCCCACAACTTCGTGGGGATTGCAGGGCATGGCAATGTGCCATCATGTCAGCTTGCCCTTCAAACAGTACCTTAGTCATGCTCCCTGTACAGGCTGCTTCGTTCAGAGTTCAATCCCTACCCAGTTGCTGATCTTCCTGTGGTCCACTAGAAGTCTATTCTTGTCATCGCGGTACACCATATCCTCAAAATCTGCATTCCATATGACGTCTTCGTCTGCTACAAAGTAGTCCTCCACATGGAACACTGGCTGCATGGACGCGCGCTCCATGCCAATCTGCACTCAAGGAAACAAGGGGGTGCGACAGACACGAGACAAATGGGTGCATGCAAGGCAAGGCAAGAATGGGTCAGGGTTTCGGGTTTAACAGGGATTTAGGTAGAAAAGGATGCGATGGGGCTTGTTGAGCAAAGGAGAGGGAGCAAAACAAGATCTTCCAACAAGAGGAGGCCATTAGGAGCACAAAATACCTCACTACAGATTCCATTGACATCTGTGGACTGTGCTTGACTCACGACAGCGAGGCTGAGCTGGGCGTTGACGAGGCAGAGGTCATCTCGAGACCGGCCGTACAACGGACTGGACTCGTCAATCAGGTGCCGAACTGTCATGCCGTAGCGCTGGTATGAGTCCTCTGACCGCACCTGGTGGTGGGTGGAATGGCAGGGAAGGGTAGCAGGTGACAGCATGATCAACCAGCAGCACTGTGAAAATCACATCACCATGCTCGCACATCACACCTTCATGTGGATGGGGTAGCAGCTGGCAGCGGCAACATGACTGAAGACTCTCAAATTGAAGGAACAAGCACTGCCATACATTTGAGTGATCCCCACCTTCACATCCACCAGCTCATACCTTCATTCAACCATCATGCACCAACAACCATCCGTACCAGCTTTAGGTGGTCGACTTGCCGGAAGAACCGGCCAGTACAGGAGAGGGTGTTGTGCTTGAGAGTGAGCTGCACCTTCACATCCACCAGCTCACACCTTTATTCAACCTTCATGCAGCAGCACCACAATGCTTACCAGCTTAAGGTGATCCACTTGGCGAAAGAAACGGCCGGTGCAGGAGAGGGTGTTGTGCTTGAGAGTGAGCTCCACCTTCACATCCACCAGCTCACACGGCTGTGGCCCCGCCAGCACATACCGCACCAGCAGCATGCGCTCACACCCCCTCCCGCCCCCCATCCCACCACCACCCGTGCCAAACCCGCCTCCTTCTGCTCCTCCTCCTCCTGCCACTGCAGTACCAGCAGCAGCTGGGAAACTACTTGAGGCGGCGAAGGCTGCGCTGCCTCCAAAGTTGGCACTGCTGATGCTGCGGGAGAGTGAATGGGCAGCAGGAGGATAGCGAACCGGCGGGGACTGCCCCGATCCCCCAGCTGCACCTCCAAGCACGTTCACACCCTGCTGTTGCTGCTGTGGCTGCTGTAAGGGAGGGGTGATGCAGGCGATTTTGGAGCACAAAATCGGATCCACCGGATGGGTGAGCCTCGCGAAAACCGCTCCACTGAGAAACACAAACAGCAGCTGAGCCACTAGAGCATTCACATTCGCAACCACGAGCGCGTATGGCGACGCCGGTGCTAGAGCCGGTTCTAGCCCTGTGGAGAGCGAGAGCGAGAACATGAGCACTTGGAAAATCCCCCACGCGCATCCCCCTGGGATGATCCCGGCGGGACCCAGGCGGAAGATGTTGGATTGCTCGAGAGCACGCACGGCGTCGCCGAGGGTTTGAGAGCCGTCGACGACGTTGAATAGGCCGCCTGATGCTGCTTCCTTTGCTGCTGCTGCCGCTGCTGCTGCTGTGGCTGGAGCTCTGAATGCTCCTGTGCTTGCCAGCCCTGTAACAACCGCTCCCCCTCCTCCCCCCCCTCCTGCTGCTGCTCCTGCTGCTCTTGCTCCTTCCACTGCTGTTGCTCCAGACGACCATGCTGCTTCTGCTGCTGCTGCTCCCAGCGTTGTAAGTGCAGACGAACCTGCTTCTGCTGCTGCTGCTGCTGCTGCCGCTCCTGCCGGCTCCACAGCTGATCCCATGCCCCGAGCCATAGCCATTGCCGGACCTGCAAAGAAGGACTCGTCCTCCAGAGCACTGGCTGCCGAAGCTGCGACGGAGGTTTGGAGGTAGGCTAGGAGCGTGTCCTCCACCACCAAGCCATCCAGGTCCGGGAGGTAGAGCAAGGTGAAGAGCAGGGAGAGGAGGAGCGGGGCGGAGCAGACAGCAAGAGAGAAGACAAGAGGCGGCTGTTTGAGCATGTGTGAATAGAGGTTGTAGAGGAGAGAGACTATGGAGGGACGGTGCTGGATTATTCCTAGTTGGGATTGTGCCTTTCTCCCTCTCTCCTCACTCGCTCCTAGCAGCATTCGCATGGGACTCATGTCTTCCTCCTCCTCTTCCTTTTCCTTTATGACCGATTTTGTCACATCTTTTACAGTGCCTTCTACTGCGTCCTTTACTGTTTCTGCCACTTCCCGCACCGTACCCTTTATAGTCTCCTCCACGCTATCCTTCACGTCTTTCACTGTCTCAGTCATGTCTGTCACTGTATCCAAGACGGATTCTGTCACTGATTCCGTCACATCCTTGACAGTACCAGTAACGCCCATCACAGCTTCAACAACAGTGCCTGCAACAGCACCCACCACCTCCCCTGCCCCGCCCTCCACACTCCTCCCAGCACCCCCCCTCACTCCCTCTGCTTCCTCCCCTGTCCCTCTTGCATCTGTTGTGACTGTTGCACCTGTTGCCCCTCTCACCCCTCTCGTTCCTCTGCCTTCGCCCCTCATCCCAACCGCCTCAGAAATCTCTAATCCCTCGACTCCCTCTCTTACTCTCTCCCTCTGATTCCCCCCTCCCGCCATTCCGTTCCGTCTCTCCCCTCTCGGATTCGCCGTCCCCTTTGATCCGGCCAACCCATTTCTAGATACCCTTGCGCCCTCCTCCTTACTATCACTCCTCTCCTTCTCGCTCTCTTTTCCATCCCTCCCTCCACCCGCACCCCCCATGCCACCCCTCTTTCCCTCCACTACTTCCCCTCTCTCCCGTTCTCCTTTCCCTTTCTCTCTCTCTCCCCCCTCCTTCCCCCTTCCCACACCTCTCCGCAAGTACACCCCACCCAAATCATTCGCATCCGTATCGCTTCCGCCTCCGCCCCTCCCCTTCTCCGCCTCCTCCTCTTCCCCACGCCGGGTCCACACTCGTCGTTTCCGCCTGCGCATTCCCCCGTGCACCCCCCCGCTCCCCCGCGCGCCCAGCGATCGCGCGGGGGCGGGCCCTCTCCGCGCAACCCTCCCGCGCAAAAACGCCCCGCGCGCTGCCAAAAGCCCCGCTCCGCCGGATTCTTCCCCCGCGAACGGCAGATTGGGGGAATCTCCGCCGAGTCCCCCCAGATCCCGCCTCCGCAAGGCGGTGGGCGGAGTCAGCGGGCGCAAACCGCAGAGGTTGGGCGCTGGGGGAAGGGCTTGAGAGTGCGGGCGCACGGACAGAGGGAGGAGGCAGGCGCACAGACCGTGCGACATGGTGTGCGACGGCGACGGTTCACCGGGCAACGATTTTAGGCAACGGTTCCAGGGCGACGATGTTTGCGAAATAGTGGCGACTCGATTGCACTGGCCAAGGGACGAACGCGGCGGTTACAGGGCTGTGTCGGACACGCTTCGAAACAAATCATTTCCGCGCTTCGCGAGCAGGCACGGGGTAACTTTCGATGCGACTCACAAGCTGCCCTGCGAGCAGGCACGGGCCCGCGAGTGCGAGCTATCGCGAATCTTTCACCGTCGAGAATGACAGGACGGGAGTGACGAGACGCATGTTCCGATGCTGTGCTGAGCAGTCAGTAGCATTAGTAACAGCGGAGACAGGGTTGGGCTCAAGTGAAGAAATTTGGTCTGGTGAGATTCCGAGTCCCGACGGGGCGAATTGAGAGTGCTTCTTGATTCGCTATTAACTTCTTCGTGGTGAATTTATTTGCCTCATACACCGAAACTGTCTCGGTGCTACCAAAAAGCTGTTCCGAACTCTCAAGCCCTGTCCTTCAATCCAATCCACCAAAGCGCCTACCTCCCCATTCGACAATCAACAGGCTTTATTTTCCGTCGCGTCTGACGTGGCACTACGCGCTACTGCCACTGGCGAGGACTAGATACGGGAAATCTAATCGATACTAACCGTTGCTTCAAACCCTGATAGAGAGTCGCGCCGTCCTCCAACGAACAGAGCGCCTCGGAACGCGACTCGAGCACTCAGGCAGAACAGGCTGAAACGTGCGCTGTAGTCTCGGAGTAGATTTCTCGGACGCGGCGCGGGGGACGCGTTAATCCAGTGGCGGTGCGGCAAGGGCTGCCCGCATGGTGCGGTTGCAGATCGAGTTCAGGTGGGTCGCCGCATGTCCCGCCAGGTTTCCCGCTCACCGTGTAAGGCGGACACGTCGTTCTGTCGTTGGCTCGCTGCGCATCCTCCATCTCCTCTTCCGCTCCCCTGACTTGCCCCGTCTCACATTTCCGCGTTCCCCTTTCTCCCCGCGTTCCCCCGCCTCCGCGCGTCGCTCATTATCCCCGCGTTCCTCCATTCTCCCCGCTTCTCCCGTTCCCCCATCCCGCAGCGGAGGCTTGGAGCTGCTGTTCGGCGGAGAGAAGAAGCAGAGCGTGGATGTGACTGTAACGGGGGAGGATAGTCAGGTGGGGTGTAGCTAGCGCACTCACATCCGCATGCATTATCAGTTCAGAAGTGCATGCACATCTCTCACAATCAGTAGTCCGAACGCACACTCACATGCATTCACGCAAGGACTACCACCTTCAGTATCATTCCAATCCAAGAATGCCTCGCCCCTTCCCTCCGCACCTTCCTCACTCCCCCTATCCCCCACCCTCACAACAGCTATGCATGGCGCCGCTGCTGACATAAATGCGAGAGCACACACCCCCAACCCCCCTTTCCACCCAACCTCTCACTCTCACAACAGCTATCCATGGCGCCGCTGCTGGCGTGGATGCGAGTGCACATGCTCAAGGAGCGACCAGAGATGTTTCTCAAGGGGCCCACCGTGTGAGTCACACACTCCGCTCACAGCACAAGCACTGCCTGTGTGCCACACTGTCTATGTGCTGCATCACAAGCACTGCCTGTGTGCCACACTGTCTATGTGCTGCAGCACAAGCACTGCCTGTGTGCCACACTGTCTATGTGCTGCAGCACAAGCACTGCCTGTGTGCCACACTGTCTGTGTGCTGCAGCACAAGCACTGCCTGTGTGCCACACTGTCTGTGTGCTGCAGCACAAGCACTCACAGGCAATCTAGAATCTTGAGTCCACGGCGCCCCTTGGGAACCTCTCCCTTTTACCGTACACATCCATCTCGTCCCTCATGTCTGCCTCTTCCTCACCATCCGTGTTTGGTTACCCTCTGCTGTGCAGGCGACCAGGTGTGCTAGTGCTGATGAACGATGTGGATTGGGAGCTCACAGGCAATAGAGAGTCCACGGTGCCTCTTTGCATCCTCTCCCTCTTACACACCCATCTCATCCCTCTCTCCCTGCCTCTCCCTCTGCCTCTCCGCTACGATGCTCGTCTGGTTACTCTCTTCTCTGCTGTGCAGGCGACCGGGTGTGCTAGTGCTGATCAACGATGTGGATTGGGAGCTCACGGGCAACCTAGAATCTACTGTGGAGGATGGAGATAGAGTCACTTTCATCTCCACACTGCACGGGGGCTAGGCGGGCACCTGTACTGAATAATTAAAAAAATGCATTGCTAACTAGGAAGCTCCGGAGCGCCACTCTACAGAGTAGTTAGCCTTATTGCCTGACATTGACTTATCGTCATATGTGTTATTTTGCAGCAGACAGCCTCTGCTTGCTAATACAACGGTTAAGTGACCGAGTGTGTGCACAAGAGGTTATTGCTCCTCTTGGAATGCCTTTCTTGCTTCTTTCAGCTCCACGTTCATTGCCAGTAACTCCCTGGCTCTTGCAAACTTGCGTGGGTCCTGCCATAGTGGAGATATATTGGCATGCACACAGCACACAGCACAGAACCCACGTTGAGACGTGGTGGCGAGGGGAAGCAGCAGAGACAATGAATGAGGAGAGGGAGAGCAAGTGAGGGGGGACGTGCAAGAGAGGATGTGTGAGATTGAGAGCGGATGAGCTTGAGAGGATGAGTAGGGCAGGATGAGAGAGCCGATGAGAGAAATTTTGTTGGAAAAGTGAGAGAGTGTGAGTGAATGAGTAAATGAGTGAGTGAGTGAGTGAGAGAGGGAGGGTAAAAGTGAGGGAGCTGGCCTTGCGGATGAGGAAGAGCACGTCTTCTGTGGTGAGGCGGCCTCGCCTGGCTGCCACCTCCTGAGCCCGATGCACGAGGTCAGTGATGTACTCGATCACTATCTCCTCCACTAGCTCCACTGACTCGGGTAGGGGCTGATGGGAAACACATTGAGAGAGTGAGTTAGAGATAGAGATCAAGGAGTGTGAGGGTTGCACCGTCCGTGATGTACTCGATCACTATCTCCTCCACTAGCTCCACCGATTCCGCCAGGGGCTGGTGTGACACGTGAGGGCACGTAAATGATTGTGGTGAGGGGGGATAGAGAGAGATGCGGGAGTGCGAGGGTGTGTGTGACCATCTCCCCCACCAGCCCCACTGACTCTGGCAGGGGCTGATGGCTCACGAAATGCAGCATGCAATGAAAGGGAGAGAGCGCGCGAGATGAGGCGATACTTGCTGGCTGTGTCCTCTCAGAATGGCTGCTGTGGGTGGTGGGTCATCTCATGGTGATGGCGATGCTGATGCTGATGCTGATGCTGATATGCTGATGCTGATGCTGATGCTGATATGCTGATGCTGATTTGCTGGTGCTGATATGCTGATGCTGATGCTGATGCTGATGCTGATGTTGATGGTTCAGAAGCATACCACAAGCGTGTAGGAGCAATGATCACCACCACCGACAGCAGATGAGCTCACCTCGAGCAATGATTACCATGACTGACAGCACACGAACTCCACGTGAAAGCAGACAGCGCAGGGGCTCACCTCGGGACTACCATCACCGACAGAGCCAGGGCTCACCTCGGGATCATCCCCAAAGCAGTACATCATGAGCCGCACTGCCGCACCACCGACACAACACAGAGCGGTTCAGATGGCTCACCTCGGGATTACCATCACAAACAGCACACGAGCTCACCTCGGGATCATCTCCAAAGCCGTACATCATGAGCCGCACTGCCGCACCATCGACGCAACACAGAGCGGTTCGGATGGGTGGACGCACCAAGGAGCCATGGGAGCACGTGGGAGCACGTGGGAGAGCACATGGGAGCAGCATGAAGGAGTTAGTACGTTCAGTGAAACTGCGTGTGGGGTGAACAGTGACGGTGCATGGAAAGATGCATGAAGCGTGCAAGCTCAATCTCCCTTCCGCCTTCCTTCTTTCCCCCCCTTCCTTCTCCCCCATCCTCCACCCGCTCACATTCTCGCAGGAAGATTCCCGCCTTCTTCTTCGACCCGCCCAACTCCTCCGCCGCCGCCTTCCCCTTCGCCCGCCCGGCTCCCCCGCCTCCGCCGGAAGGTCCCTCCGCGCCCTCATTCCCCTGCATGCCCGCGGGCGCGCGGAGCACGGGGGCACGCAGAGCAGGCGGAAGCGCAATGGGAAAGCTCAGAGTAGGCGGAAGCTCAGCGCGAGGAGAAGCAAAGCAAAACGTGGCGGAAAGCGCGCAGCAGCAGAGGTCTGGGCCTCGCCAGCAGCAAAGAAATGATGGGGGCGCGCGGAAGGGGCGCGACCAGGAGGCCTTCGACGGGGATTGTTGGCGATTGTGGGCAGGGCGCGACGGAATAACGCTCGAGAATAGTGGGACGTGCGAAGGAGTTATAGCAGTAAGCGCAGTCGCGACACGGTGTGAATGGCTCTGAGCAAGGAAGTGTTTTATTCGTGAGAGTTCAGCACTTCTAGGTTGTTCGCAATTAGGAATGCTGCTGTATCGAGTCACGTCTCATATTTTTCCTACACTCCCATGGCCACCTCCGATATGCTTATATATAGATTCAACATCCAATAATTATTGCTCAGATGAGCTATTCATATCAATTTCACTGTTCCTATCAGCTGTATTGGCTGAAGGAAGGCCACACGCGTGGCCTCCCCTCGCTCTACTGCACTGGGCAGGTCCAGCGATTGAACGGCCTTTGCCCCTTCCGCCTGCCATAACTGCTTGCACGGGTTTGAGAAAAAGAAATGGTACTGGGTGAGAAAGGGGACTCGTATCGTAGTGATCAAATTGGTAAAGGAGAACTAGTGGGTAAGGAACAAAAGAAAAACACAACCACACACCCCAGGTGCCCACACTACTTACAGTGACGTGCGCAAACGGATTAAGCGAGCGAACCGCCTCCCCCTCCTCCCCTTCCCTCAGCTCCACGGCGAGTGCAGCCACATGTTGATCAAACAGCAGCGCCGTTGCCAGCACCGTCACTGCACGCCCCTCCATGGGAGCATACCCCACCACTGCCGGCACGCCCTGCTCCTTCTTGTGGGCCAGAGTCACATGCAGCCACCCCAACCCCCCACCACCACCAGCGCCACTAGCACCACCAGCAGCGACAGCAGCACCACTGGTACCCACGTCCAGTTTCTTTCTCAGAGGCCCTTCTGCCGTTTTCCAGAACTCTGCCACCGACGAATCAGATCTCGCCAGCTCTTCCAACGTCTGCAATAGCTGTCGCCCACTTGTTGCCACGTCAGCGCCGCCCGGTGCCACATCAGCAGCGGGATCAATCACCACCGCTGCCAGGCGAATGCTGCGGAAGCTCGTCTTGGTGGTGACCAGTGGCCGGATTTGTCCTGTAGCGATCTGGTGGAGCTGGTTTTGGACTGTAGCGACCACTTGGTCAAGAGGCAGCTGGATGGATGTGAGGTAGTGGGCATGCTTGTGCAGCACCGCTCTCAACTCCCCCTCCCACTCCAACACCTCCTCTGCCATTGGCGTTTTCAGAGGCTCCTTGCTGCAACCGTCATGGGGGACGGGTGAGGATGCGAAGGGCACAGATGTGAGGGATGACGGTGGTGAGGGAGAGGAGAGCAAGGAGTGTGAGGCGTAGCAAGTGTGGGAAGATGAGCGGAGAGGTCGGGAACACCAGTGGTATGCGAGCACGCGCAAGAGAAAGTCAGCACCATCTCGATAAAAAAGGAAAGACACATCAGAAACACGCGGCCTGCCTCACAACCACACCGCACCTTTTATGTCGCTTCCATATGGTTTCCCGCAGCTTGTGCCCTGACTTGATGACGCCAGCTATCTCGTCTGGTAGTGGAGGGCTGGTGGAGGAGTCGAGAAAGACAGGGGAAGAATTACGAAGGGCGGAATACGAAGGGAACCGGAATACGAAGGGAACCGGAATACGAAGGGAACCAGAATACGAAGAGAACCGGAATACGAAGGGAACCGGAATACGAAGGGAACCGGAATACGAAGGGAACCGGAATACGAGATGGGAAAATAAGAGGGAGAGAAGAGTGTATGGGTTTTGGGGGAAGGGGGTGGTGGTGGAGCGTGTGTTTGGTGGGGGAGGAGGAGAGGGGAGGGGGAGCAAGCGTTTGCATGATTGCAGGGTCAGTAAATGGTGACTAATTGAATCAAACGGACGAAAACACGCACACACAAACTCACGAGTCAGGTTTGACAACAGGCATGGTCACGAGCACACCAAAGCGCTGCTTCAGCTCCGCCTCAAAGTCCTCCCGGTTCTGCAGCAGTCGAGGGCGGGGGATGCATGGGTTGGGTCACACGCACGCGCATGACACAAAGCACGCAATGCAAAGCTCGTTTGGCATGACATGGTCACAAGCACGCCAAGCGCTGCTTCACCTCCCCCTTAAAATCATCCCGGTTCTGCAGCAGTCAAGGGCGGAGGTGGGTGGACAGGTGGAGAGATAAGTGAACGCAAGGAGGTGTCGGGGCAGGGTGGGCGGACAAGATTTTCGTAGTACAAAGCTTCCAAGGCACGGCATGGCATGGCATGGCATGGCAAGGGACAGGAGGTGGCGCATGGGGTGGAGTGCGGCACGGCTGGCTTTTTATTTCTTTTCTTCTCAAAGGCGGGGTGGGACTGACATGTCTGCCGTAGAGCGAATGGAAGTTGAGCACCACTTGCCCTGGAGCTGGTGAGCTGGCATCCAAATCGCCCTGAGATGAGATGGATGGGGGAGGAGGAACAAAGAGAGTGACAATGGGGAGGAGGGACGGATGTGGTGAGGAGTGGGAGTGGGAGCAATTGTAAATGCTGACCCACCTTGGTCTGATTCAAAGCAAGGTGGAATGGGAATCTCTGTCGAGTTGAATCTAAGTTGATGGCCTACAGGCCTGAACAACAGACATAGACAAAGGTTCTTGTGAGGAGGTTTGGTATGGAGAAGGGGTCTCACAGGGTGGTTGGTGCGCTGAATCACGCGGAACAGAAACACGGCCAGCACTCGCCAGTCGAAAGCGTTGTGCAGTGTGCCTGGACAGTGCAGAGCGGTGCAGGGGGGTGGGGTGCGGGAAAGGGCTCTGCCAAGTGACAACAGTGCTTGCATCCCCTGGAAGGTTGCATTGCAGCAAGCTTCAGACTTCAGGAAACCAGAAACACAGACCTCACAAAACGGGAGGAACAAGAACCCTGGATACATCAGCGTTAATCTCTACCTCCCTCTGCCCCCCCTCATTCGCCACCTCTCCTCCCTCCACACACTCCCCGCCACCACCAGCCCACACCCATGCTTTCCTCCCTCAAACCCCCCTATCACCCTCCCCGGGAGGACAGCTTACCGAGCGAGGCAGGCACAACAGGTACGCCTATCGGCCCTGTGTCGTGGCTTTGAGACGTCTCAAAAGACAGCTTACCGAGCGAGGCAGGCACAACAGGCGCGCCTATCAGCCCTGTGTCGTGGCAAATGGCTTCTATCTGCATGGCACACGGAGGTGGGGGATGGAGTGTGAGAAACACGGGGGTAACTTGAGTTGATGCGGTTTTGACATGACTCCAAGCCCAGCAGTCCCGCGCCGTGGCAGGTGGCTTCTATCTGGCCGCCAAACATGGGCTTCAGGATGGGGTGAGAGTAACAGAGTGGAAATCCTGAGCTGATGCAGTTGTGAGACGTTTTAAATGCTGGCAGCCCTGTGCCGCGAATGGTCTCCATCTGGATGTCAAAAGTAGTAAGAAAGTGCTCGCAGCATGAGCACATGAGCACGAAAGCATGTGAGCACACGAGCACATAAAGCAAGTGAGCACGCGAGGATGAGAACACAGGAGCAAGAGAGCTCGCACCTGGTTCCACACGTCCTCGTAGGGGGCTCACCTGGTTCCACACGTCCTCGTTGGGCGCATTCTTATCCGCCAGCACGTTCACCCTCGCCCCCCTCTCCTTCCTCATGCGCGCCCCCAACACCTTCCAGTACTTGCCTGCGTAGTACAGACCGGTGGGATGCGGTGGGACACGGTGGGATGCAGTGGGATGGGTTGGGATGAGGTGGGAGGGACAGAAAGCAAGACAGACGTGAGTATGGCATGGAGAGACAAGGGGGGACGCCAGAGGCTAAGGAAGGGAGAAGATGTGTTACGATGTGCGATGATGTTCCATGCAATCATGCACCCACCGATTGTCTTGTCGCCCATAATGTGCAAGCATTCCCTCCCATCCCCCAACGGCCCTCCACCCTCCTCCACCTCCCCTCTTCCCTTCCCTCCCTCCTTGCTTCCTCCCTCACCCCCTGTCGCTCTCTCCCCTCTCCTTCCTCCCCTTTCTCCTCCACCTCCCCCTCCTGCCCCCGGTCCTTTCTCCCCGCCACCTCTCCCACCTTTCTTCCCCTTGCCCTTCCCTCTCGTCACCTCCTGCCACCCATCCTCCTCCTCTACCGCCCCTGCCTCTGCTCCTGCAACAGGGTCCGCTGAAGCATCCCCCCCGTCTCTCGCTACCTGCGCAGACGACTCGCCCTCCCTGCCAGTCCATGCCTGCTCAGCTGAATCACTGCCTCCACCGGCCCCACTGCCTCTACCCATCATCTGCATAAGGGCTTCAGAGAGAGCGGATTTGGCACACCCAGGGATCCCCGGGAAGAACACCAGCAGCCCCTTGCCCTGCTCCCCCCTCCCCTCCGCTCCCCCTCCCTCCCCTCCACTCTCCTCCCCCCGCATCCCCTCACCCCCGTCCCCTCTCTTCCCCTCCCTCCCCTCCCCTGCTTCCCCCTCCCATGCGGACCCCACTGCCTTGGCCTGTGCTGCGCCCCTCTTGGCGTAGGCAGCAAGAAAGGGCTCGGCATAATCGAGGTAGGAGTTCGAGGAGACGGACTTGGGAGGGCGGGGGGAGTCGGGCGGGCCTAGCACATAATCCGCCCTGGGAGAACATGGAGGGGTGGAGGGCACAGAAAGGCGGGGATGAGGGGATGTGGTGGGTAGCAAGAAAGGGTTCGGTGTAGTCGAGGTAAGAGTTGGATGAGACGGCCTTGGGTGGGCAGGGGGACGAGGGTGGACCCAGCACAAAGTCCGCCCTGGGGGTGGGGAGGATGCGGGAAGTACAGACAAAAACAGGGACGGGGAAGAACATGGGGGAAGAGAGGGCTGAAAAAGGGGCGAGGAAAGGAGGTGGTGGGCAGCAAGGAAGGGTTCGGCATAGTCAAGGTAGGAGTTGGATGAGACGGCCTTGGGAGGGCAGGAGGATGAGGGAAGCGGAGGCAGGGGAAAGGGTGCTGGAGTGAGGCAGGAGAGAGGGCAGGGGAGGCAGGCAGGAAGACAGGTCACAGAGCTCTGTGCGGCGCGAAAGGTTCATTGAGATGGCAAGGAGAGTCGGGAACAAAAAGATGGTACAGCGCGGAAGCGATACACTTAGGCAAGAAGAGGCAAGTTGGAGCATGCAGCACGTACCATGCTCGGCAGAGCGCGGTCATCTCGCGAGTTGCAGCTGGTGACGTGCCCCACACCTTGAGCAGCCTGCTCGGCGCACACACACAGTGAACAGTTAACAGTGAGCAGTGAGCATAGGGGGGATAGGGATGAGCAGAGAGGGAAGGAGGGGTAGAGGAGGTGTTCAGGCACTATTAAAGGAAAATTGCAGTTGAGAGAGGAAGGGAACAGGAGAGTGAAAGGAGGGATGTGGAAGAGCATGTTACTTGTGTGTGTATGCTTTGCCCTTCCCCTTTGCCCTCTCACCATGCTGAACACACTCACTTCACCAACGCACAATCTATCCATGCCCCGAATCCCACCTGCCTGCATATGCCATCCGCGCCCCCGGCCCTACCTGGTAGCATACGCCATGTATTCATGACGGCCTTTCTTCAGCAGAGTGCCGAGCCCGTTGCGAATGAGGAACGTCCTTAGCTTGTACGGCAGAAACTTCATCTTCAGCATCACATGCGGCACCTCCTTCCTCTCCCCGCCCTCCTCCTTCCCACCCTCCTCCGCCTCCTCCTCCTCCTCCCTGGCCTTGCCCTCCGCACTCTCCTCCTCTCTCAATTCCTTTGCCTTCTCCTTCCGCCCGCTTCCCACTTCATCATCATCATCATCATCACCATCACCAGCAGCAGCAGCAGCAGCAGCAGCAGCAGCAGCAGCATCAGCTGTTGCAGCTACCAATTGCTTCCCCGTGCCCTTGTCCACTTCCACAACCGCAGCTTCCAGGAAGAATCCTCGGTACAGAGGCCATAGCCCGGGGTTCTTGCTGATGGCGCGTGGGCGGGGCCAGTTGTGGGGTGAGGGCGGGTGAAAGGTTGAGGGTGCGAGTGAGAGTGATGACGGGGTTAGCGAAAGCTGTGCCGGGGTAGGGTAATGTAAGAGGAGATGGCTGCTGAAACGATGGGAAGGTGGAACACATGGCTGAACGAGGAATGACGTGAACACATGGGGGAAGAGGAAGCGGCGAATCACACCGCATCTCACCGCATCAGTTGCTGGTATCTGCGAAAGGCCGCGTCTTGGAAGGCATGCACGGTGATGAGATGATGGGAGAGGGGCGCTGAGGAAGAAGCAGAGGAGGAAGCAGAGGAGGAGGATGAGGCGGTGGTGGTGGTGGTGGTGGTGGTGGTGGTGGAGGAGGAGGTGGAGGGGGAGGGGGCAGGGGCGAGGAGAGAGGGCGAGGAGGGGAGCGGCCAGGGGTGTGACTTAAACCTCACTTTGAGCTTCTCGGCTCTCACCGCTCGCAGCATGGCCTGGGAGGGCGTGGCAGAGGAGCAAAGGACGAAAAAGAGGTGATTGGAACTTGACAAACGCGAAAGTGGAGACAGAAGGACAAGAGGTAACGAGAAAGTGGAGACAGAAGGACAAGAGGTAACGAGAAAGTGGAGACAGAAGGACAAGAGGTAACGAGAAAGTGGAGACAGAAGGACAAGAGGTAACGAGAAAGTGGAGACAGAAGGACAAGAGGTAACGAGAAAGTGGAGACAGAAGGACAAGAGGTAACGAGACAGTGGAGACAGAAGGACAAGAGGTAACGAAACGTGAAGAACACACTACCAGCACTGCCCTACAGGCCAGTTTATCACGCCTGAGAAACAGCCTACAATTTTATTTTACAACCGAACATCACAACAGACACGTACCTGCAGTTTGCTCGTCTCAGCATCGGCTGCAGCGCAGCTGATCAACGAGTTGAGCCACTTTGACATAAGCCGACCGTTTCAATTCGACTTAACTGTCACCTCGTACCTGCAGCTTGCTGGTCTCATTATCTGCAGCAGTGCAGCTCAGCAGCGAGTTCAGCCAGTCAGTCACACGCCGCTCCTCCTCCTCCTCCTGCTCCCTCCGCCTCTGCTTGGCCTTCCCCGCACTCTCACTCTCCTCCCCCTCCACCACAGTGCCTCCTTCCTCATCCTCGCCTCCACTCCCATACCCCCCCGTCACGCCCTCCCCCCACTGCCCGGTGCTGCACATGGCGTCTCCTGCCTCCTCCACCAGATGGGCGATGCGCTGGTGGATGAGGTCAAGAGAAAACGGGGGGGGGGAGAAAAGACAGATGAGGCAGCAGAGAGATGAGGAGTAGAGGGAGGAAGCAGAGAAAGGCCTTCGGGACATGTTCGAAGAGGGGCAACTGACCGAATGAAGAAAGTGTTCCCTTTGAACTAGGGCAAACGCATTCCTAGCACTGCATCGCCCAGCCTCACTCACTGCATCTCCTCTGATATCCTCTCCAAGCCTCACCTCCTGCATCGCCCCACCCTCACCCACCTCGCGCATGGAGTCGTGTTGAGAGAAGAGATCTCTCAGCCTCGTGCCTGCTCCCACGGGATAGCTGGGCGCCGGGCCTGATGCAGACGAGACGCAAAGAAAGGGACAAGAGGGCATAGTCGATTTTTGAGTCAAAGCCTCGTGCCTGCTCCCATGGGATAGCTGGGCGCCGGGCCTGATGCAGACGAGACGCAAAGAAGGGACAAGAGGGCATAGTCGATTTTTGAGTCAAAGCCTCGTGCCTGCTCCCGCGGGATAGCTGGGCGCCAGGCCTGATGCAGAGGAGGGGACAGGAGAGCGAGAGTGTGGGCGCCGAGAGAAAACGGACAGAAGAGAAGCGGAGAGAGAAGTTGATTTGATGAGTAGAAGGGCGGTGCTGATTGCTGCAGGCTCTTGGGGCTCACCAGACTCATCACAACCGAGCGTCATCTTCAAAGAAAGAATCACTTCCCCACCCCTGTCACAAAAGCCCGCCCCTAACCTACTCTCTGTACCACTCACCTGCCAGCAGCCCCGCCTTCAGTTCTCTGACTTGATTAAGGCTCCTGGGGCTCACCAGCCTCGCCACAACCAAGCATCATGTTCAAAGAGAGAACCACCTCACCACCATTCACCAGCAAGCAGTCCCGCCTTGACCTCGCTGACTTGCTGCATGCTCCTGGGGATCACCAGCCTCGCTAGAACCAAGCAACATCACCTCACCACCCCCATCCCCTAACCCCGTCCCCTAGCCCCGTCCCCTACCTTGATCTCTCACCCACCACCCACCCGCCAACAGCCCCGCCTTGAGATCTCTCCTTGACTTTTGGCCGGCGGCCTTGCCGTTTGCTGTTTGGCCGGCAGCCTTGCCGTTTGCCGTTTGGCCGGCGGCCTTGCCGTTCGGCGCCCGGGGGCCGGCGGCCTTGCCGTTCTTCGGCGGCCGGCGGCCAAGCCGTTCGTCGGCTGCCGGCGGCCAAGCCATTCGTCGGCTGCCGGCGGCCTTGCCGTTCGTCGGCGACCGGCGGCCTTGCCGTTCGTCGGCGGCCGGCGGCCTTGCCGTTCGTCGGCGGCCGGCGGCCTTGCCGTTCGTCGGCGGCCGGCGGCCTTGCCGTTCGGCGGCGGCTGGCGGCCTTGCCGTTCGGCGGCGGCCGGGGGCCGGCGACCTTTCCATTCCTCGGTAGCCGGGGGCCGGCGGCCTTGCCGATCGTCGGCGGCCGGAGGCCTTGCCGTTCGGCGGCGGCCGGCGGCCTTGCCGTTCCTCGGCGGCCGGCGGCCTTGCCGTTCCTCGCCGGCCGGCGGCCTTGCCGATCGTCGGCGGCCGGCGCCTTTGCCGTTCGTCGGCGGCCGGCGGCCTTGCCGTTCGTCGGCGGCCGGCGGCCTTGCCGTTCGTCGGCGGCCGAACGGCTTGCCGTTCATCCGCGGCCGGCGGCCTTGCCGTTCGTCCGCGGCCGACCGCCTTGCCGTTCGTCCGCGGCCGGCGGCCTTGCCGTTCGTCGGCGGCCGGTGGCCTTGCCGTTCGTCGGCGGCGGCCTTGTCGTTCGGCGGCCGCCGGGGGCCGGCGACCTTTCCGTTCCTCGACAGCCGGGGGCCGGCGTCCTTGCCGTTCGTTGGCGGCCGGCGGCCTTGCCGTTCGTCGGCGGCCGACAGCCTTGCTGTTCGGCAGCGGCCGGCGGCCTGGCCGTTCGGCGGTGGCCTTGCCGTTCGTCGGCGGTCGGCGGCCTTGCCGTTCGTCGGAGGCTGGCGGCCTTGCCGTTCGGCGGCCGGGGGCCGGCGGCGTTGCCGTTCGTCGGCGGCCGGGGGCCTTGCCGTTTGCCGTTTGGCCGGCGGCCTTGCCGTTTGCCGTTTGGCCGGCGGCCTTGCCGTTTGGCTGGCGGTATTTCCGTTTGCCGTTTGGCCGGCAACTTGCTGCAGACTCCTGGGGCTCACCAGCCTCGCCAAAACCAAGCACCAGCAGTCCCCTAAACAATAAATCACCACACCACCCACCTGCCAGAAGCCCTGCCTTCAACTCCCTGACTTGCTGCAGGCTCCTGGGGCTCACCAGCCTTGCCACCACCAACTAAGCATGGTGCCCAAAGAAAGGACCACCTCACCACCCCCCTCCCTCACCTTCACATCACCACCACTCACCGGCCAGCATCTCTGCCTTGAGCTCTCTCACTTGCTGCAGGCTCCTGGGGCTCACCAGCCTCGCCACCAGCCCCTCCATGATGTTTCCTTGAAGCTTCCCATGCGACGCAGTGCCTGAGGCAGGGCAAAGGGGGGCGCGGCAACGTGGTCAGGTAAGGGAAAGGGGGCGAGAGTTAAGGGTTACTTTGCTATTTTAAGAAAAGAGGGGAAAGGCATTGCAGAGGAGGAGGAACACCGCAAGGAAGGGGGAAAGACGTTCGAGCAAGGAACGCGGAAGGAGCCCTCCTCATTCAAGGTGGAAAGAGGGTGCGCATGAGTCTGCGAGGAAGAGGCTGACCTGCAGCGTGTGCTCAACCGAGTGGGCTGTGCCCTCCTCACTCAACGCTTGAAGGGAGACCAAGGCAGAGCATGGGGCATGGCCATTGTGCCTGCCTGCCTTTATGCGAGCGATAAGCTGACCTGCAATGGTGACGTCTGCGATTCCAGTGAGCGTCTCCTCTACTGAGTGCGCCGTGCCCTCCTCACTCAGCGCTGAGTATGCTGCAAACAGCTGTGAGCACGACCGCCTGGTGGACAGGAAATGGGCGCATGCTTGAATCATGAAGGCGCACGTGAGAGTGGAGGAAGAAACGAGAAGGGGGCAGGCGAGAGGCGAGAAGCGAGAAGCGAGAAGGGAGAAGAGGAGAGAGAAGAGAGAAGAGAGACGAGGGGAGTAAGAATAGGGGAAGAGAGAAGCTACTGCATAGCCATGGCTTCGCCTTGCCTACCCACTGTTGCTGTACCGTTTACACTTTTCAGCAATAACGACCTTTGGAGGGAAGAGGGAGGGGCGTACGAAGAATGGAAGAGCCAGTAGGAGTTGAAGGGCAGGCGCCAGGTGTGACAGAAGCGCAGCACCTCGGGGGTGGAGAGGAAGCGCGGAGGGTGGCTTGCCATGTCCGTGACTGCTGTCACCACCACTGGGAGCGGTGTTCATGGGGCATGGGGAGGGGGAGGGAAAGAGACGAGCATGGTTAAAAATGTGAGAGGAATTATTGATTTCGAGGGCCACAAAAACCGTTTCTACTACCAAGGAGGGGAGGAATTAGGAATGCTAATGGCAGACAACACAGGAGGAGGTGCGCGAGACTGGTGGCCTGCAACACAAGTCATGGCCCAAGACCGCCCACTCATACACTGCACCACACGCACATGCACAGCACCGCATGCTCATACGCTGCACCGCACGCACATGCACAGCACCGCCCGCTCATACGCTGCACCGCACGCACATGCACAGCACCGCCCGCTCATACGCTGCACCGCACGCACATGCACAGCACCGCCCGCTCATACGCTGCACCGCCCGCTCATACGCTGCACCGCACGCTCATACGCTGCACCGCCCGCTCATACGCTACACCGCCCGCTCATACGCTGCACCGCCCGCTCATACGCTGCACCGCCCGCTCATACGCTGCACCGCCCGCTCATACGCTGCACCGCCCGCTCATACGCTGCACCGCCCCCTCATGCGCTGGCACGCCTGTCCGTCCCGCCTTCCCTCTTCGTCCTGCCACGCTCATCCTACATCCTCAGGTACTCGGAAGTGCGCGTTTTGGGTGCTGGGGGAGACGCTGCGCAACGCGTGGGGGGAGAGCCTGCTGCGACAGCACCCGCACGCCCACTGTGCCCATACTGCATCATATTTCCCCACTCACTGCCACACCTGTCCGCCCTACCTTCCCTCATATCCTCAGGTACTCCGCAGTGGGCGTGTGGGCGCTCGGAGAGACACTGCGCAATGCGTGGGGGAGGGCCTGGCACGTACCATCTTATTGCCCCACTTACTGCCACGCCTGTCCGTCCTGCTTTCCCTCATATCCTGCACCACACGCTCTCACAATAGCCATGCCGTGTTCTCACCATAATCCTGCAGCGGTCTCTGCCCGTGATCCCCCAGCACTGATGTGACCAGCTCCATGCCTACAGCCATGCGATGGTGCTGCCGTGTGTGTGTGTGTGCATAGGGGAGGGAGGGGAAAGCGAGTGAGGGGTTGTTGGCGCATAGGCTTGCAGCGGTCTCTGCCCATGAAATGACTCCCCAGTACCGATGTGACCAGCTCCATGCCCACCGCCATGCGATGGCGCTGCCGTGTGTGTGTGCATGCAATAGAGAGGGCGGGTGAAGGGGGGGTTGTTGGTTGCTGCTGGCATGGTTTCATTTCTTCAGCACATCATATAGCAATTCAATTACCGATGCATGCATGCATGCATGCATGCACACAGACACACACATGCACGCACATGCGCACAGATACAGTGGCAGCTTCCGTCACTGGCTCCGCCATAACCCCAGCCCAGTGAAGTGAGTGACTGACCTCCAGGTAGTCGCTCACCGCCCGCTGCTTGTGCCGCACCACGCCCTCCCCCCACGAAGTGACTCTTAAGGCAACTCGAAAACAGATGCAGAAACCACTTACTGCGCTGCCTCCCCCATTGCATTGCCCCCGGGACCCACTGACCTCCAGGTAGTCGCTCAGCTCCCTCTCCTTCTGCCGCACCACGCCCTCCCCCCACGCGTTGCGCAGAGTTTCTCCCAGCACCCACACGCCCACTGCTGAGTACCTGAGGACATGCGGTAAGGCAGGACAGACAGGCACGGCAGGAAGGACAGGCATAGCAGCCAGTGGGCGTGGGCAATACGATGTGGTATGGACAATTCTAGTAACTCTCCCCCGGTACCCACAGGCCCACCGCAGAGTACCTGAGGACGTGTGTGGGACAGGAGGGACAGGCTTGGCATTCAGTGAGGCAATACGATGAGGTATGGTGTAGACGCTTCCAATCACTATTTCTTCTTAATTATAAGACACATCAAGACGCGTCACTCACTCGTTGCCGTAGGAGTTCTTAGCATACGCGCCTCTCCTCGCCCCCGCCCACAGAAAGAGAGAGCCGCTGTGCTTCACTGAAACCTGTCCGGGAATGGGGTTTTAAGAGGGGTTCGAAGGGGTGAGGGGGATGAGGGGCGGAGAGAAAGAGGGGAGGGAAAGGGTTGAGCATACTGCAAGCAACGAGTCAGAATTAGACGGATTTCGCTGTTCAGGAAGAAGCTGGATGGCAAAGGAAGGAAGCATGGCTCACCCTCCAGCAATGAATGAGTTTGATGTCAACATCAACGGTGCAGATGAATTTGACAGCATCAATGGTGCAGATTGCCTGAGAGCGCTCACCTCGAGAACGCCAACGCCATTGCCGACAAGCCTCTCTATCTCCCCGCGGACCTGGCGCGACGGGAGCCGGGCGAAAGGGGTTGGGGCGGAAACGGATCAGGGCGGAACGGGAAGGGTGGTAAGGAGGCGCATCATATTCAGCGCTATGACTCAATGGTTGTCCGCATAACAGAGCACGTGAGGGCTGGCCGTTTCCCCACCACTAAGTCTTTTTTCCACCTCTCTGTGAGTCGCTTTCCTCAAGAGCCTCACGGATTCACCTCGCCATCCGCAGATTCGTTCTCGAACTTTGGGTAAAACGCCGCCACTATTCGTGCCACTGCCACTTTCCGCGTCTTCGACCCTGCGCTGCTCGCGCTGCTAGCGCTGCTTGCGCTTCCGCACACTCCGCCTTCCCCCGCCTCCGCATTCGTTAAGCCGCTGTCGCCATTGCGCGCTTCTCCTCGTCCGCGCGGTGATTCGTCTCGGTGGGATTCCCTGTGCTTGCGCGAGCCTCGTTTCTTGCTAGGCATGCTGCACGACGGACGTAACGAATTCAGACGAAACGCGAGAGCGTTCGCTGCTGGATCGCAATCATGCACTACCGCTACTGTCAGTGGCGGTGCTGCTAAATCTAGCGTGCTTCGACTGGTGGCGAGTCTGAGCCTAAATACGGGACGGATGCTCGATGTGATCCGAGCGAGCACACGCATCGAAACGATGATTCCGTACGCATGAGTAGGGTCTGGGGTTGAAAGATAAGGCGCCTTGCTTCATGAAGACGCAATGCGAGTCTCTGGTCTGGACTCGATCATGCCGTAAAGCATTCGTCGCCCCCTGAGGACGCGTTGAAAAGTAGACGATCGATCTTGGGTCGCGATCGGTGTGCGGATCTGTAACCCTATTTACTGTGCTATAACCTTGCTACAGTGCGATTTTTTTGCCAAAATTTGTGCACAGTGTGTGAATGCGACTGATCACTGATCGCGGGAGATCAGTGAGAAGCATCAAAGTGTCATTGATGTAAACGAACCGAGCCTACCTGGCGCAATTGATTCTGATGCCTGCGACTTTCTGAAATTTCGCAGAGCCAGGAATCGTTGTCGCCCAAATTGTCCACATTTGGCGAAATCTGTAAACATCACATCGCCAGGGTGGTTGCCCTGCTGGCTGCGAGTGTCGCAGGTGGGTTGGACGACGTTTATTTTTTGGGTGTGAGTAGCATGCAGGGCAGTAATCTCGGCCCTGGGATATCCACCACAAAGCTCAGGTGCGATCGTTACAACGTACCGGTCTTCATGTTTCGCCAATCGATCTGCCCACTCGATTGTGGGGCTCGATTTTTGCTCGCGATCCCGCGATATTTGCACTTTCAACGCGTCCTGACATCACATCGTAGAACGAAGTTGTGTGGGTTGTAAAGTACAACCACAAACGAATCCTTCCCACCGAGTACACACAATATGGTAGTATTTACTCAATATTCTTTTTGAGAGCACTCAGTGTTCGAAACTCTTTGTAGCCAGCACATGTGTAAGTTCACTCTAGGGAAAGAAACTATATCGGGGGTTCAAGTGGTAGCTGTGGTTTCCGTGACGCTTGCCGTTACTATAGGGCGAGAATTTTCGCCACAAAGCCGCCTTTCTGCATCCTGGTAGCACCTAGTCGCACCTACCGCCAAGCCCCAGGCACTTCCGGCAATCCCGCAGCTGTTTTGACAGGTCCCATGTGGCTGCAGTTCGGCATTCAATCAGCACACTAGCAGTCAGCTTCGGCAAACGCCAAAACCAAGTGATTTCCCTCTCCCTCCTCCGTTTCCCGACCTGCGAACAGTGGTCCCAGTTTTTCTTTGTGTTTGCCAGGCTTGTTCCCGCCAGACGTACTTGTGGTTCGGCTGTTCTGTTCCCGCTTCCTTCGAGCCGAGCCTCGATATCTCCTCCACCAACTTCGAGGTCCATGGTTAATTCAAACCAGCCCAATACCACTTTCTGGCATTCAAAGCATATCGCGGAAACTAAATCAGTCGTTAGTGACAGAAAATTCCTACTTAGTCTTGTTTTCTGCATTGTTGGCCGCTGCTCCCTCCTCACAGCCACTTTCTCAAGAGGTATTGGGGTTCTCGTGCAGTAACATAGCAGGGACGTCTCGAGCATTAGGCATGGCTCGCTCCTTCCACCGATTCAGTCTCATTCTCGTTCTTAGCCTAGTCCTACTTGGCTCGACGGTATGTCACGCGCAACCAGATCAAGACTACCCTGATCCCGCAGGGGACACTACCTTGCCGGAGGACATGGGCGTGCCTCCGGACCAGCTCGACCAATACACGGACCCGAACGCTTTCAACGAAGGCGAAACTGCTCCCACCGATGCAGTTCCAGGCGAGGATGCGCAAGATCCGTTCCTTCCCCCGGAAGACGCCTACGTGCCCGACGATACTACTCCCGCAGACGAGCAACAGCCTGCTGGCGAACCGGCTCCGGGGGACATCCCCTCAGAAACCACCACTGCGCCGGACGACATTCCCCCGGAAACCACCACTGCGCCGGAGGACATTCCCACTGATACCCCTCCCGTTGAAGATGCAGCCCAGCCGACGGATACCGCGTCTGCTGCGTTTGCTCCTGACACGACCGACGCTAATTTCGATCCTGACGCCGCCACTCCCGTCGACGCGACGGTTCCAACAGAATCTGCCACCGTGGCTGTTGATGATACGGTGACTGCGGGTAACGGCACGATGTACGACTTCCAAGGCGCGTACGATAAGATGAAGGGTGGCGATCTCTCCACAGAGGCCATTATTGGTATCGTCGCTGGTGAGTCCATGCATACAATCATGCTGTGCATAGTATCCCGTGTCTCCGTTAGTGGGAACTTTATCGCATTTAACATGCATTGAGACCATCTGTTGCGTTGAGACCATGCATTTTCCGTGTCTAGAACGAACGTCTCATCAAAATTAAGATGCATCTAGGATCCAACAATTGAGACCGAAAAATCGCGTCTCGGACTGAGTCCGAAGATTCGCTCGACTCAGTCTCGCAGTTGGTTGAATCTCTAATACATAGAGGTGGGCTAGAATGGCGCTCCATAAATTATTATATTCCGTCTCGACTGGACCAGTTTCAAGTGTCCACGTTAAATGTAAGGACTGGTCGAAATTTGTGGGCGTCATGCTGGTAAGAATCGTCACTTACAATCCATCTAAACGAAGATCACCTATGCTTTTCTTTAGTTCAAGCACAAAAGCTCCACTTTGCGTAGCCTTAGGGCGCGTGTGATCTATTTTCAAGTTCGGAAAAAAGGTCGAACTTTGTTTGGTTACCAGCTTCGCTAATGTCGTCAGGAAGCTTTGGCAAAGACATGAGAATTTTGGGGCACATAAGTTCGAATGTCAAATGTGAACTCAACTCGAATCACACGAGTGAACCTGCGGGTGCACATGAGGCGAGTGTGTGTTGTTTTCAGCACGTACGAAGGCCATCCGAAAATCGCGACCGCTTTGCGAAGGTCGTTGAGTTTCGTTGCGCATTACGTTAACGTGTCGCGCTGTACCAGGTAACCTACTCCCCTACGGCCGGCTCGCCGCCATCCCTAAAAGGTCGAATCTCTGTGTTCGACCTTGGGTGTGTGATTGTGACTCGTCTGTGTTGGAGACCCAAAATTCGAACTTCGCTGGAAAGAAAGTCGAGTTTTGTTCAAATGCTACATTCGACCTAAAAACACAAATTTGTAAGACCACACACGCCCTTACAACAACCGTTTTCCTTTCTTGGATCGCGGAAGTTGAATGTAATCATCCTTGGACCTCTATGCACCCAAACTGGTTCAAAACATAGTCATTAGAAAAAATATAGTTGCAAGAAATACGAGGAGCTTTTTCCCGTATTCTTAATTTGACGAATCTTACGTCGTTTTCCCATATTCCTCCCCCAACCTCCGGCCCCCAACCTCCCTCCCCGGGCTGCTCGTTCCCCTCCAGAATCCAATCCTGTCCACCTCTCTCTCATCCCTCCTAGTTGTCTTTTCCCCCCCTCATTGTTTGTTGTACCCCCTCCTCACTACCACGCATTCCTGTTTCCTGTCAAGCAACTCGCTGATTTCCTATCCGCTCGTGCATTGCTCAACTTCTCACTCCCTACAGCCTTGTCTTTCTGGGTGGAAAGGCCTTTCTTACAGCATCTTTATAATATTTTCCTTGTAACTTATCCTCGCCTCGATCCATCATGCATACCCCAATTCTGGATGTGCAGGGGTTTGTGGCGGCATGGTCCTTGTCATGTTGTGCGCGTGCATCTGCTGGATTCGCCAACGCAACATCTGGCGAGCCAGATACGGAGAGTAAGTGATTGCTGCTGCTGTCTTTTCTCCTCCGCTCAATCCACCATGGTTTTGTTTTGGGCTGCTGTGGGCAATCTGACCTCTCAACCATTTTGAATTGTGACCTGCCTTCTTCCAACCAATGAGGATGTCTCTTTTCTGTCCTGCCCCCCTCGTCCTGTCTGTTGTTGAGCAGTGGCAATGCAGGAGCAATTGAGATGTAGGATCCAGAATGGTGCTGTAACCTGTATAGACGTTTACAGTGGAAATCATATTTATCTGGGGCCAAGTCTTGGCAATGTCACCTAGATTGTTGATTTGAGTGTGACAATCCCTGTTTGATGCCAAGGTAATATGTGCCAGTGAGCAATTTTGTTGGAAGGGTAGATGCAGGTGAAGTCAGCACAAGCTCCTTCACCTAAGGAAACATCTACCGTACCTGCAGTTGATGGTTCTAGAAGCAGCAACTAATGTGAACCTTTAGTGCCTAGTAGTTGAGGATTAGGTCTGAAGGTGAAGGTCTGAAACTGCATGTGTAGATTGCATCTTTAGTTCTGTCCAATGCAACATTCTGGCAGCGGGTCAACAGCATAGTCTGGATGGATCTGAATACAGTATGCTAAGAGACAAGTAAGAATTACATGACATCATTCTTCTAGCCTGCTGTAAGATCTGTCAGTATCACTGTTGAACCCGGTATTGTCATTTTGGCAGGACACACCAGATTAGCAGACAGACACACCCAGTCCGACTTACGTAGTTCCCATAATCGTCGACTTGTTCAGAGGAGATCCGGGATCCCCACCGGGATGTCCGCCGCAAGAGACGCTCTAGTGGTCTCGGCAGAATAATCTTGTCCGGTTTTAGATCTACCGGATAGATCAGCAGACATCAGATTTTCGCCGATTCTTGCAATCGCAATAAAACCCAAGGGCCACAAACGTAGGAGATCGCGGCCAAAGACACGTGTGAGTACATGCTTGCACGGGATTCCCGAAAAACACGCCGACACCCTTCCCTCACGCCATAGTTCCATTCCCGCGCGCCGATGAGGAATTCCCAAACGCAGCGCTACCCTACCCGTCGCGCGGCCATTCCCTTCCCATCGCGCGGCTGGGATCTTCCTTTCGCGTGGCAATATCCTCCCGTCGCGCTGCTATTTCCTCAAGTCCCTCCCCCTCCCGCTTCCATTCCCATTTCCCTCAGGCTTGCATCCATAACCCTCCCGCTGCCATTCCCTTCCCTCCCGCTGCCATTCCCTTCCCTCCCACTTCCATCCCCTACCCCTCACGCTTGCATTCCCTTCTCCGCACGCTGTCATTCCCTTCCCCGCACGCTGTCAGCATGGCTCTGATGTCATCATGTCGGATCCTGGTCGTTGCGGTGCTGATCGCGTGTATGGTGTCGTCAGCATGGGCCATGTATTGCGGCGACGATGACTGCTACGACCTTCTCGGGTACAGTCACCCTTACTGCGTACAGTCACACCTGACTAGGTCAAGTTACCTGCTTGGTGTCGTCCTCTTCGCATTCGGCGCCGTCCAGTATCCAATCATTGGTGTCCTGCATCCACCGTCCACGTGATCTGATGACCGGATTAGATCCATGCTCCCGTCGCTGCCGCTCTTTCGTTTCAGCACCTGTTATCCCAGTCATTGCAATGGCCGAGTCTTGATTCACTTCCTCGCATCGTAGTTTCCTGAATTTGCCAATCCCTATCTCTGCTTTGCCGTGTAACCATGCAACTGCATCAGGGTGAAGCAGACAGCGACACAGCAGGAGATCAAGAAGGCTTACTACAAGCTCTCCCTCAAATAGTGAGTGAGCCCCACTTTTATGAACTTATCAACTTAAGTTTCCTTTAGAATACCAACGTCCCTCTACCCCTAGTCAACCATCACCATTCCTCCCCATTCTTCACCACCCCTGGTCACCTGCCACCGCTCCTCACCACTCTGCACCCTCCACGGCCGTTCTGCTCCCTGCCTCTCATGGCAGCCATCCAGACAAGAATCCAGAGCCAGACGCGCAAGCTGTATTCTCCAAAATCGCCAACGCTTATGAGGTACAACTTTCCTGAATTGCTGAGAACTTGCGTATTTAGTAGTGTGACCTTTCGTGAGTTGAGGCTGAGAAATGTGTATGACACTGCTTTGACTCAAGAACAAGGTTATTCATTTATCGTTTGCCGCTGTCTACTCATACTTGCCTGCAGCACCACGCTTTCAGACCCCTGACACCATAGGGCTCTCATCCACGCGCCCACAAGCCATGCTGAACCAGCAAAAGTCAACCTTCTACTTCCTCTTTCCCTCCTCCGTCCGTCCCTCCAGATTTTGTATGATGCGGAGAAGAGGGAGCAATATGACTATGCCATCGCGCATCCAGAGCAGGTGCTCTGCAAGGCCTGATGTGCCATGGCATGGCATGGCATGTCATGGCATGGGATGGCTTCGCATGTCACGGCATGGCACGGCACGTTGCACAACATGGAAAATCATGGCATTGCATCGCATTGCATGCCATTTGCCTTGAGCAGATTCCGTGCTTTTTTGCAAGTAGGGATAGCAGTTGACGTGTATGCATGTTGCACCTTCATGGTTTGCACCACCTCGTTGGTAACATGAAGACGGCCTGCTCATCAGTGCAAGCAACCCGTCTAATCCCACTTCGCGCTTGATCCCCCCCTCCTCCCTCATCCCTCCCTCTCTCCTTCCACCTGTTACTTGCCTGTTCAGTTCTTCTACAACACTGCACGCTACTACCAAACTTATTATGCTCCTAAGACGGTGAGGCTTCTGTCGCTCCTCATCTTGACAGAGCTAGTTGGCCCTCTCGTCATGGCAGCTATTCTGTGTTACAATTATCTGTTTACGTGATAAGATTTTGCACTGCGTTCTGTCGCCCTCATGCATCGTACCATTACGGTGTGCTGCCTGTATGCTGCTGCCATTGCTTTTCACTGATTCACATCCCCTTCAACCACTTGCAAATTGTGGTTCTTCCTTTTGTCCCAATCATCATGATCACTTTGTGTTGCACTGGTTGATTACAGGACATTCGACTCATCCTGCTTGCAGCGCTGTTGCTGCTCTCGTCCTTCCAGTACCTCAACGATCACATTCGATACAACCAGGTGAGCCGCACCCAGTGTCAGTGAGTACCAATAGGTGAGGTTCTAAGGCATCTCCTAAATTCAGCCCCTTGGGCAAGCAGGCGAATTGACTCGCTTTCCGTTCTATGGGTTGGAATCTTTTGCCAAGTGACATGTAACAGATTATTATTGTTCCTCCTTGTCGCTTTCACGTTGTTCATGCCCCATGCTGTCCTGCCACTTCCTCTCTGTCACCTCGCAGGCTATAGAGCACGCCAAGCAGACCCCAGCCTACCGCAATCGCTTGAAGCAGCTGGAGCTGGAAAGGGCTGCGGCTGCTGCTGCTGCTGCCAGCACCACTGGTGGAGGCAGAGGGAAGCGTGGAGGGGGCCGGCGTGGAGGAAGGTAGGCAGCGAGGGCACAATTCACATTTTGGCACTAGTTTATACTCTCGAAGATGTGGGTTTCTTGCTTGATTGCCCATGTCCCCTTCGAAAAATTGTTGCACACAATATGTTCAGGCTTGTGTTCTGATCAGTGATCTTGCCTGACTACCTCTACCTGCACACCCACTGCTTGCCTGGGACGAACTGTGGATGCTTTCAGAGCAGCTGACACCCAACAAGCTGGAGCAGCTGCTGCTGCTCCCCCAGAAAATGGAGTGGCTGAACTCGAGCTTCAGGTACGGTTTGCAGTCACATCACGCAATGTATATTCTTGGTGTCATGTTTTTTTAAATATTCTTTGTGATTCCGTCCACTGCAGGTGCATGGAGCTGACAAGCCGTGTCCGTGGCGGCTCTTTGGTGTTCAAGTTGTCATCTTCCCTTATGTAGCTGCCAAGGTAAATCATTGCCCTCCATGTGCTGTTGTCTGCTGTTCCTTCGTTTTGTGCTCGTTCTGTTGACTGCATCTCTCATATGACATTCTGAAGTCCGTGCATTGTCATTGGATGTGCAGTTGATATGGTGGCAGGTGCAGTGGTTCCATCGCTACACCATGCGCCATGCGCCTCTGGTATGGAACGATGCTTGCTACCTCACGCGCACCACCCTTCGTATTCCTGCAGCTCACTGGAGCTCCATGGGTAAGGCCAGTTGGAGCCATGGGAATCCAATGGCACCTGCTTTCTTGGATCTTTCTTTGCTCTTTTCATATTTAATTTTTTGGATGAGTGTTGTACAATGCCTTGCAGGGGAGTCTGCCCAAGAAAGGCTTGTGGAGCGGAGGCTCTGGATCAAGCAAAACCTGAATGATTATCGAGAGGAGCTTTCCAAGTCCGTGAGACGTAGACGTTAATGATCTCTGCATTGCAGCAGAAGGTGCTGAGCAGGGCTCTTTCTTGGCATTGATACTTGAGGTCAATTGTGGAAGATGTTGGAAGCTATTCCTGCTCTTATCACCTTGTTGTACAATGAAGATTGTGTAATGATGTCTTATGCGGAATAGCTGTGGCCTGTGCAAATCAGGAAACGTAGGCGCTAATGACCACCGCATTGCAGCAGAAGGTGCTGAGTAGGGCTCTTTCTTGGCATTGATGCTTGAGCTCCATTCTGGAAGAGGTTGAAAAACATCCCTGCTTTTGTGACATTGTACAATAAAGATTGTGTAGTGAATGCCACATACAGAATAGCTGTGGCCTGTACAAATCAGGAGTGCACACACTATGACGGACCGATCAATCTCCTCCGTTTAGCTGCGCCTTGCATACTGCACAATCCACACACCATCAGTTGTAGAGACACGGCTATAGCTTGTCTAAAATAAAATTATTTAATTAGCTGGCCGTACCTGTTCATGTCATTGGAGACATGCAAAGCAATAGTCTCCCTTGTGCTTGCCTCCAATTCAGAGTCATTCTGCAGCAAAACAATAACAGTGCAGTTAGCCCCCTGACAATGTGTAGACAGGTGTGCAAATGCCTTAACTCCTGCTGCATCGAGGGTAGTGCTGAAGTTGCTGATTGGAGCTTGTCGAATTCTATCAGTTTAGCTGCTCACCCGTTTCATGGACGCCAGCACGGCCTTTTTAGATGGTGAGCTGATCAGCGGTGGATCACGAGTCTGTGCACCTGCCGTAATAAGAATCCTCAGATGTGAGACAAAGAACACTGGAGTTGCAACAGACTCAAAAAAGTACTTACGGGAACCGAGAGTGGTGAACCCTGGAGGGCCAAACCCAGGAGGGCTGATAGCAGGGCTCTCATCTTGTATTCTGACGCTCTCCCCAGAAACAGCCTTCACAAGACTGGATGGTTCAACTAAAGGTTTGACCTCCCACATCAGAAATGGTCTAGGAGATGGTGCAGCAACTGTAGGCGGCACAGAAGCTTGTGGAGGTACAATAGACGGACCACTGGACAAGTCACAGAGAGGAGGCATTTGCGGTGGGGGCTGTGGTAGAATAACTGGAGAGGCTGACGATCCAGGCAACGTGAAGCCTGGAGGAAGTGAAATGCTTGGAGAAGCCAGCACGGGATCCATTCCGTGCTGCAAAATAAGCATCCGTCGACGCCGCTCCAACTCCAAATCTGTTTCTGACTCTTCCTTCTTTGATTCAGAAGGCAAATCTTCTCTGTCTGAAAGCTCCCCTTCCTCCACCTCCTCGGATTGAGGTTTCGCTGGAACTTCACCTGCGTTACCATCTCTTGCAGTACCTGACAAGACATCTGCAGCCGGTAACTGGTTGGACTGTGCATTTCGAGGCTCAGTTGGTGCAACTGCTTCTGGTTGCCACAAAGGCAAGTCCTCTGAATCATCGTAAGGCCCTGGTGGCTGAAACACAACGCACATAGCAGAAGTTAGACTCTGTAAAAGTGAACCAAAAATTGCAAGCTACGTTTTTAAATAGTTGCAACAAATGGCTGGATACCTGAGCCGCTGCTGATGGGACCAAACTTCCTTGCACTCTCTCTAGATGAGGACCCCCAAAACGAGGAGCACCTCTGTCAGGTACATCCAATTGTGCACCTGGTTGAGCAAGTGGCTTCTCTCCAGGATACTGGAAAACCCACTGTTGCTGCTCCTTGGACTCTATTGCCCCCTGCCAAGCAGATCCGCATGTCAGACTTGACAAGTAGCAGAGGAACAAGAAAGCTTGAAGGCAATAACTCACATACATTGTCCACTGGAGCACCTTTCACAAATATTGCCGTGTCAGGAACTGGTGGGAGCTGATGCAACTCAGCATCGTGGGACATGCTTGCCAATCCTTGGCTCAAGTAGTCATCGATTGCCCTGCACAACAACCCTTGCTCATTTGTTACGGAAACAGCAAGTGTTGGTCCTTGTTGAACAAGCTGATATGAGATGGACAGTAAGATGGAGCATGAAACCGTCTGTCCGCTTACCTGTAAAAGTCAGTTCGAACATAGCAAATCACGTTCCTGGCATGGACCAAGACAGGAACAGCCAGATTGACCTGCCAGCAATTGAAATAATGTGAAGGGGATAATAAAGCGGCCGGTTTGACTAATATGGCTAAACCAACACAGTCCAGCAAATTCACACACCTCAGCCAGGGGTGCTGCATACGGAGCAAAAGGTTGAACAAGGTGGACACGTGGCTGGTCCCTTTCCTCCCAGACATTCATTCTGTCATCAATAATGACTGCCATTCTTGGATCACAATCGTTCCTGTGGAACACCTTTTGTAGTGATTTGAATGTGCCTGCAATCAGAGCCCATCAATAAACGGAACGTTAAAGAGGAAGAGATATACAAAAAATGTTTCATTGAATTGAAGGAAACCTAATCGGCCAGGTGAACCTACCAGCTTTGACTGAGATGATACGGGCTGACAGCTCCTTCGGTTGAATAAGCTTTCCTTCAGGATCAAGCAGCCTCCACATTTCCAAAGCGTACTGCTTCTCTGCCATTGTGCACACGAAGGCCTCAAACCGCTTCCGTCCCTTGGTGGAAAAATAACTCCGCAAATCTTCCCAGGATGGCCGCATTCTGACAAGCACACTAGTGTCCCGATTCTGCACAGTCACCACCACACTAAATCAGGCTTCCGCTCAGGGTACAACAGAGTCCAAAGCATCAAGTGTGCAAAAAGAATACCGTTTCACCTCTGGAAAGATTCTTGTTAGAACAATGTTTTGGTGTGGGAGCCTGAGGACAGGCCGAGTGGCAGGAAGAGATTGCCCCTCCACTGGTGTCACGGCTTCAGGCTGAGCCACGTAGCACTTCCCGTCAAGCATGACAGCGTTGGTATCGTAGTATTGAAGGAGGATCTGCCTGTCCTCCTCGTAGCGACCCAGCTCAGCTGCCAAAAGCTTAGCCAGTTGCGGATCACTGTTCGCTGCTAGCCGTTGCCTCAGCACACCGATCTTGTCTTCAAATGATTTCATTGTATTGGCGACAAAGAGAGTTTCATCGAGGTCGAAGACCACAGCAAGGCAGCGGAGGTTCAACATCTTCAAGCAGGCCGAGAACTGGCCTTCCTTCACGAGAAATCCCCAGAAGCACGGTCTGTGGTTCTTACGATGCTCCTGGCGATTGCCTAACATAGCAACCAAGTGCACCTCGAATCCGCCTCCGATTGACACGACAGCAGTCTGCGAGATCAGAAACACAAGTTACTAGTTTTGAATCCACTGTGTGCGCGGTATTGTAAGATAACATAAGTGTTACCGAGAGCATTACCTTGGCATCTGTCACACATGAGCTGTGGATTAAATCCAGCTCATGCCAACTCGCCTCACAACCTTCTTCAGGAGCTAATTTGAACCACAGCCCGTCATCAGATATAGTATGCAGCACGACTTGCGGCTGTAGTCTTTGGCTGGACTCTGAAAAGCCTCGGAACTCCATTTGCTGGGAAAATAAGTCTCTTGCGGCTTTGCCATTACGTGCTGGGGTGATCGACACTTTGGCCACCACCCTGCCTGCACTCACAAGTCTCGATTTCATTATTGTCAGTATTCACGTTCTGCGGTTTGTAAAAAAAAGTTTCCAATGTTAGTTGCCAATTTTTAGGACTCAAGTTCGCGAATCGCACAACCACTAATAAGTCGTAGCTACGAGTGAACGTGGTGAGCATCGGATGTCAGCAGTTGAATGCTGATGATGAGGGAGACAGAAGACACGATAAGGAGATAGCTTCTTGGACTGATGCCATTGCCTCGCCACCGCTGTTGGCTGATGACCTGCTGAGGGTATACACGGTATCCTGCAAGCGTTCGCATATGTAAGGAAATTCCCTTTTCCTTACTTCGCACCCCTGCTCAAACGCGTACATAGCACCTCAGTCAGCACCTTTACCACTCGCGACCATCGCATCGACAATCATCCCGCCATTTTCGCACATCGCACCCCGACCTCACGGCTCGGCGGGTAACCCGCGCTCCGGGCCTACGCTTCGACATATTCCCAACCTCAGTCCCAGGCTCGTCGCGCGACAACCACAGTCCATTACCGTTACCACTGTAGTTTCGCTATATATTCTTCGCTCATGCCTTCGCTCATTGTACTCTTGCTTCGATAGTGCAATTCTCGTTCGTTCACTCAATTGCACTCGTAACACTTGGTATTCAGAGCCTACGATCCCATCTCGGACCGCATCCACACCTTCGCTTCCCCACTATCTCAATTTTTTGGGGGGGGTAGACGTCTCTCAGCGATACAGCACCGCCGCTCGTAGTGCTCTCTCGCAAGCACGCACGGCCACGACCGAGGCTCTCGCTGAGCTTGCCCGTCACCCCCGCCATGGCCGATTTCACGCTCGCCACATTGACGCAAGAGCAACTCGATCGTCTCGTGCGTCAACTGGAGGACTCGGCGCTCGAAATCGCGACTCTCACGGCGGAACGTGACTCCGCCCGTCAACAGTCTACGATGAACGTACCGACAACACCCCACGCACCAACAAACACATCTGCACATTCGGGTGAGCCGATTGTAATCTCGTCCGGCACACCAACACAACATGACAGCACGGGACAACGCTCAGGCGCAGCCAGTGAGGGCGCCGCCCAGCCGATGCCTGGCATGGGAGGAAACAGGATCGCACCAAGCCCACGGGAGCCTCGAGAAGCCCGTCGGCACGTGGAATTTGCGGCGACAAGTGGCGAACACTCCAACATGGCACCAATGCCGCTCAAGCCGCAACGCCCACCCTGCTTCGACCCAAGTCAACGCGGCGGTCCGACAGTTCAATCGTGGGTCTTCACGATGAACGTTTTCTTCGACGCCAATTACGTCGAGTCGGACGCCGCAAAGATCCGGTATGCGGTTTCACTGCTAAGGGGCCCCGCCATGGACTGGTGGCGAGTCATCGTGACGTCGCCACGCGCCTACGAGCCACCGTCGCACGAGGAAGGGCCCTCGGGCCCAGCTGTCATCTGGAGTTCGTTCTGCGAGACCGCCCAATACAGCACGTGGGATGCGTGGTGCGCAGGGCTTCGGGCGCGTTTTGAGCCGATCGCGGCTTCAATTTCGGCGCGTCAGAAACTGCGCACTTGGCGCCAGCTCGGGTCAGTTCAAGACTACACCAACGGTTTTCTCGCACTTTGCGAGCAGGTCGGCTACATGCACGAAGCGGAGCGGGTGGACCGTTACGTCGGAGGGCTGAAGCCGGATATCTCGCACGAAATAATGCTGCGCGGACTCTCTAATTTCAACGAGATTCTTGCGCTCGCCGAGAAGATCGACATTCTACGCCGACCGAGACCGGGGTCCTACTACGGACATCGCCCTCGAGGGCCGACCGAGCACGCCACTGTACATGCCGTTGCAACAAATGCAGCTGCCGCACCATTTAAGGGGCGCTGCTTTGCTTGCAACAGGCCGGGCCATCGCAAGAGCGAATGCCCAGAGGAGCTGCGGCGCCGAGGAGCAGAGCAGGGGAGGGAGTCTCAGAGGCAGGGAAACGCCAGCAGTCAGTAGAAGTTGGGCCAACTACTGACGAGACTGCCTGCTCGCCCAACCACACCGACCCTCACCGAGTCACAGTACCGATTCACGCCATCGATCGGGCTCGGATGAATAAGGAGGGTACAGCGACGGATTGCCCGGTACTGATCTACGGGAAAATACAGGGAGCAGCAGTGAAGATTTTTATTGACGGAGGAGCAAGTCACAGCTTAGTTAATACCGCAACCGCACAGAAATTGCAGTTAACACTTAACCGATGCTTACCGGAGATAGACGCACGCTTAGTCGACGGAACACCACTGGCCATACGGGAAAAGGTGGAGCGCGTAAAAGTCCGCTGCGGAGGGAACTTTGGGTTTACACAGGAAATGCTCGCAACGACACTGGATGGGCACGACATTTTATTGGGACGTGATTGGCTGCGACGGTATAACCCACGAATTGACTGGACGACGGGTAGCTGCACAGTGCGAAGTAGTGGTAACTGGGTCATCCTACCTCGCTGGCAGCCACCCGAGTCTTCGACGGTCCAGGTCAACGCCATCACGATGAAACGGGCTGTCGCTGCTGGAGCTGACGTGTACGCAGTAGATATAGCATTAGTAGAAAAAGAGGAGCAGCCGAGCGATTTTCAGAAACTGTTGGCAGCTGTACCACCCGAACTGCAAGCACTACTGAAACGGTTCCCGGGTATCTTTCCGGATGATTTACCGCAAGGGCTGCCACCTCAGCAGGCACATGACCATAGGATCGAGTTAGAGCCGGGGGCACAGCCAACTGTACAGCGCCAATTTCGACTGACACAGCCCGAGCTCGACGAACTAAGGAAGCAGTTAGATTACCTGTTAGAGAAGCAGTTTATCCGACCGAGCTCGTCACCGTTCGCCGCACCAATACTGTTCACACCGGAAAAAGACGGAGGGCTTCGAATGTGCATCGACTACCGAGCGCTTAACAGGGTAACAGTCAAATCACGATACCCCATCCCCCGCGCCGACGAACTGATCGACCAGCTGCGAACCGCACGAGTATTTTCGAAAATCGACTTACGGGGAGGTTACCATCAAATTTGGGTCGAACCATCGGACTGTGCCAAGACAGCATTTAGGACTAGGTACGGGTCATTCGAATACACGGTGATGCCTTTCGGGCTGACCAACGCGCCTGCAACATTTCAGATGACTATGAACGAGGCGTTTAGGCCACTTTTAGATAAATGCGTCATAGTTTACCTCGACGACATTCTCGTTTACAGTCGGGACCAGCAGCAGCACTTAGTAGATCTCGAAGCAGTTTTTAAAATTTTAGAGACACATCGGTTATTAACCAAGGGCTCCAAGTGCGAGTTTTTTCAGGACAGACTGGAGTTTTTAGGTCACGTCATTTCGGAGGCTGTGGTTGAGATTGACCCTAAGAAGCTGGATACGGTAAAAGCGTGGCGTCCCCCGACGAACATCACAGAACTGCAGAGTTTTTTAGGGTTTGTTAATTACGTTTGTCGGTTCGTCCCCGACATGGCACGCTTAACAGCCCCGCTCACTGATTTACTGCGTAAGGGGGTCCCTTTTACGTGGGGGGAGAAAGAGCATGCTGCCTTCTCTGCCCTAAAAAATGTTCTCTGTTCACCACCCGTCCTACGCATCGCTGACCCACACCGCCCCTTCGAAGTGGTTACCGACGCGAGCGACATCGCCATCGGAGCTGTACTGTTACAGGACTTCGGCAACGGCCTCCAACCCATCGCTTACGAATCACGCAAGCTCCATCCACCTGAGCGAAATTACCCGATACACGACCGAGAAATGCTTGCGATCGTGCATGCATTCAAAGTGTGGCGCTGCTACTTGACCGGCGAAGACGTGACAGTACGGACAGACCATCGATCCCTACAGTACCTTCGCGCACAGCCCCACCTCAACCCACGACAGATTCGGTGGCTCGACTTCCTCGAGTCGAATTTCCACTATACGGTCACATATAAAAAAGGAGCCTCGAATATCGCTGACGCACTGACCCGCCCCACTGCCCAAATCCACGCGATCCTACTCACCCAGACCAGCCCATTACTGACAGGACTATTTACCCACGGATATCAAACAGACCCGTTCTTCACAGGAGGAAATTCACAGCAATTCGCAGCAGCCAAGGGAGTCTATTACGTAAAAGCTGGAACCGACCGCATCTGGGTACCAGGATACACGCTACTACGGGAACTACTGTTACAGGAAGCACACGACGGAGTTACCTCGGGACATTTCGGAGTAGAAAAAACACGGCAGCAGCTGCAGCGGTACTACTACTGGCCGGAAATGTTGACCGACGTGCAACGACACGTGGCATCGTGTCCCACTTGCCAGCTCATGAAGTCAAGCAGGAAGCGGCCGGCGGGACAATTGCAACCAATCCCACCCCCAGAACGTGCTTGGCAGCAGGTGACGATGGACTTCGTCACGGGTTTACCGGCTGGGGCGAGTGGGAATGACGCGATCCTGGTCGTCGTCGATCGACTAACGAAAATGGCACATTTCGCAGCATGCAGGAAATCAATCACAGCCGAGGAAACAGCCCGACTCTTCATCACCACCGTCGTTCGACTACACGGGATACCAGCGTCGATCATCAGCGACAGGGACACGAAGTTTACCAGTAATTTCTGGCGGAACCTATGGCAGCAGTTCGGCACGCGACTTCAATTCAGTTCATCCTACCACCCCGAAACCGACGGACAGACAGAACGGACAAACCAGACCATGGAGCAGCTGATTCGAGCCACGTGCGATGATCCAAACACGTGGGAACAGCAGCTGCCTCTCATCGAATTTGCGTACAACAACGTGCCATCCGCCACGACCCAACAGTCGCCATTTTACTTGAACTACGGACAGGACCCAACAGTGCCCATGACACCGAATCCCGACAATCCCGTTCCACGCGCACAACAGTTCGCCGAGATTCTGCAAGCAGCACGGACCAGGGCAGCAGAAGCAATTAAAAAATCAAATATCATCGCTAAACGCAACGCCGATCGCCACCGCAGACCCGTCACTTATCAGCCCGACGACCTCGTGTTACTCGACACTCAAAACCTCCGCCTGCCCATAACTCCCAAACTCCGCCCTCGATACTGTGGGCCGTTTCGAATTAGCCACATGATCACACCCGTCACTGCGCACCTCCTCCTCCCTGCTGACTGGTACGTCAGCCCCTCGTTCCACGTCAGCCTGCTTCGCCCGTACGTCCCATCCACCAGCCAAGTCCCACGACATCGGCCATCCAGCATGACACGACCACCAACCGAACCAGTCATCACCCCCGAAAAAATCTTGAGCCACAGAGTTCGCGACCCTCGAGGAGCCCGAAAAGTTGAGTTTCTGATCCGCTGGAAAGATCGTACACCCACCGAGGACAACTGGGTTCCCCTGGACAAAGTTGAAAACCACCCTGTCGTCACCGACTACCTGCGCAGCCGAAACTTCAAAGACGTCCTCGCGCTTTCGTAAGGAGGACCTCCTTAGGAGGAGGGGGGGTAGTGTAAGGAAATTCCCTTTTCCTTACTTCGCACCCCTGCTCAAACGCGTACATCACTGTAGCACCTCAGTCAGCACCGTTACCACTCGCGACCATCGCATCGACAATCATCCCGCCATTTTCGCACATCGCACCCCGACCTCACGGCTCGGCGGGTAACCCGCGCTCCGGGCCTACGCTTCGACATATTCCCAACCTCAGTCCCAGGCTCGTCGCGCGACAACCACAGTCCATTACCGTTACCACTGTAGTTTCGCTATATATTCTTCGCTCATGCCTTCGCTCATTGTACTCTTGCTTCGATAGTGCAATTCTCGTTCGTTCACTCAATTGCACTCGTAACAGCATACAAGGCTGACCGCTGAGCATTATTACAATATTAACTGTTTCTATGCACAAACCAAGTGTTTTGTTTTCGTGATGTGACTACAGCATTTTATGTACAATACAAACAAGTATAAGCAGGCTCTAGTAAAACCTTTCCTAGGAAAGGTATAGTCAAACCAAGTTAGTGAAATGAGAAAATTCATGAGGAGACAAACATGCCTTCTGATCAATTATGCGCATAAATACGGTACGGACCATTAATTTTAATCTTCTATGTTCTAAGAAGTTCATAGCCGAATGGATGGTGTTGGCACCATTCACATTCCAAATGCTAATTCAAGAAAAAATTCTTGTGTTCATATGCTTATCCTGCTCCACATGGATGTGAAATCGTCAATCCCGTATCTTCCCGTAGCTAGTACTGTAACGAAGACACGTGACAACTCACAGCGTTTGGTCTGAGTCTAGTTGTCATTCCACATCAATGACATTCGCCATGGCTAGCAAACTACCTCCACTGTGACTAGCGCACTCACCTCCATAATGACTAGCACATTCATATCGGTTTTGACGTTGACGTGATGCAGAGTCTGCGTTTTTCCGAGTCGTCAATCCTCAACTTGCCGTCGCTTTCTTGCGCGGACGACAGAGACGTCACGTCGTTTTCAATCAAGTTTTTTCTGAATTGCTCTCGTGGTTTTGTCGGTGAAGCATGGATGCTTCGCCGCCATTTACCGCGAATCCGTTAATTCCCACAATTGTTCATCGAAGGGTTATATTCATCGTCCCACCATGAACATCCATCTCCCCAAAACGTCCGCAGCTGCCGGAATAATATCTAGCGCTGTTGTAGCTGGTCGTATCAAAGTTGCGAGTGAAAGACAATCAGCCCTCTCGTTTAGCCGTTCGGAATTCTCCTCTGCCTCTCGTCACATTCGCCTCGCAGCTGTCAATCAACCCCCCCAGTTACTTTCAGGCGACCTTCTCTGGTAAGACACCACTTCTTGCATTCTAACCAAGAAATGTCATATTCTTTTAACGTGGATTTCTTTTCGCCCCTGATCTTCGCGCTCATCATGCTCCCGTTGTTCATTTCTCTTCGTGCAGCCGTAGCAGCATGAAGATGATGAAGGGCAAGCATGTGGTCATCACCGGCGGCTCCACTGGCATTGGCTTCGCCTGTGCCAAACGTTTCCTGAGAGAGGTAACATCTGATAGAGGATTGGATCGCAGGTTATTGTGGACTTGGACTTTTGGGGTTAAAGTGGTAACATCTGACGTATTTTCATGAATTCTCCAGGGAGCCTCGGTTACCCTGATGGCTCGGAACGCGGCCAAGCTGGAAGAGGCAGCACGGGAGCTGCAGCAGTATACCAGGGAGTCTGCTCACGATGGAACCAATGGCTTTTTTCCTACTCCCAGAATCTTCACTCAGGTGAGCTTGAAGTGATCCCTCTGTAGCACCTTGTGAGCACCCATACTTCATGGAGTATTTTCTTGAAAACGAAATTGTGGTTTGTCTGAATTTTTGTGCAGGCAGTGGATGTCTCTGATGCCAAGGCGGTGCAGGCAGCCATAGACGCAGCAGCAGCTGCGTGCCCCATAGATGTGCTGCTGTGCAACGCTGGAGTGGTGCGCACAGGCCATGTGGAGGACATTTCCGCACTGCAGGCCCAGGAGCAGGTCAACACGAACCTGCTGGGAAGCATCTACCCTGTGCAGGCTGCAGTGCCGCTTTTGAAGGAGAGGGTTGCACAAGGAGCGGAGCCAGGTGCCATTGTCTTCATGTGCTCACTCTCTGCTCTGGTGGGTACAATGTGCTGCTGTGACTCAAGATCATGTTCACTCATAGCATGACACTGAATCCAAGGTTTTGTTTTATCTATGTTACAGAGCTTCTGGTATGGTGCAGCAGTTTACACTGCTACCAAGTACGGGGTCCGAGGCTTTGCAGAAGGCCTTCGTCTTGAGCTGCTCCCATATGACATATCAGTATCCGTTGTCTGCCCAGGCTTCACCGACACTCATCTGCTTGATGATGGTAAGTACCTACATCCCACATGCTTATTTCACTTTCTAAGGTGGGCCAAAAAATATTAATGTATCCTGATGGTTGCTTTGGTCACTGTTTTTTCCAGCTGAAGCATCTGGACAGTACCTCACCAAACTGATGGAGGTGGCATCGATGTACGACCGCAACAAGATAGAGAACCCCGACATTGTGGCAGAGAGAACACTGGCGGCTGTTCGATCCGGAGAATTCCTCGTGACAACGTCATCCGGCTTCCTTCCTTTCTCACTTGCTTTGCTCTCTCGAGGGATTTTCCCATCCCAGTCGGTTGTTACTTGGGTCGCGGAGAGTCTTGCAAGCCCCTTGGTGAGGCTCACATCACTTCCAGTAGGAGCAGGAATCGCTCATGGATTAAGGTCACTGCACAAGCACAAGCATACGAAAAAAGAGTAGATGTGGGTGCATGTTCATGCTACCAATGGCAGCCCATAGGCTTGTGCTGTAGGAATCTTTGTCAAGAAGACTCGGATATTTGGATCATGTATCCTGAATCAGTGATGTGCCCATCCGCGTGGCACCACGCCTGACGAAATGCTAGCGATGTCGCCACCATCAGTGATGTGCCCATCCGCTGGAAACTTGACCAATCAGGGCCAGGGGAACTAGCACCCTCGAAGGTTCAGGGACTACCATCTTCATTGCGGACCGGACCGGACCACCGCCATGTTTCTGCAACCATTTCAAAGCGTTAATAGGATTTCGAGTCTAGAGACTAGGGTGCAGTAGAGTCATCCCTTCCTTCGAGAGAGAGCTTCCACTTTGCCTGGACGCGAAAACCACCACAAGACGCGACTTCTGTCTTGTCTGGTTATTGAATCTCTAGTGGTGGTTCGAATCCTCCACCGAAGGCGCTTGCCCTTGTAGGAGGTTTTCGCGTGTCTTGGTGTGGGAAGATGAAGGTCAAAAAGAAAAAGGGTTCGGATCCTGTAAGCGCTGTCCATCTCTGACCGCTTTTCCTGCCGGCCTCGATGTTTTAGTTTCTCCTGACAGATTCAATCTCTAAATTTCGCCGTATTTCAAATTCCAGTGTTCCTGGATTCAGATCCGCGGAGACGAGCTTCATTAGACTTGTCATGGCATGGATCTAACGAGTCCCTTAATCTTGTGTCTGGCTTGTTTGCAGCCTCCGAGAGTGAAGGAAGTTATAGATTCCATTATCTCCGTTCCGTTACATGACATAGCGAAGCCTCTTTCGGAGTTCAAGTGGACTTATGACAAGGTAGGGCCTCTCGCTTCTTTGGGATTCTGGCGTTCAATGAGGATGATGGTTTTAGAAAAGCGAACGACCCATCGGTGCTCCCTTACGCGCTCGTATACACGTTCGTCGGGACTTGAGTTTTTATTCTGGGAATTCCTCATCGGGTTTTTTTTCAGTGAACCCCGCACTATGTCTGTTCCCTGTTCACCTTTCTGTCATCCTTTACACGTTAAACTTTACCGCCAAATTGGCTCCACGCTTATTTTCTCGTCACGCGTCAATTCCTCTCTCTCTCCGCTTTCCGTTGTGCTTCTATTCATCGCATCGGAAACCTTTTGGCGTGTCTGCCTGGCAGGGCGACGTGCTGCACTGGGTAGACCTCTTGAACCACTTCGACGCCTTCCTTGAAGCTTCCGTGAAATCGCGCAAGGATTTGCAGTTAGAGGGCCGGTTCGCGGGCGTGGATCCGCCGTTCCCTCGGGATGCGGTGCTGCAGGTGCTGCGGGTGTCGCGCGTTATCCTCGAGAACTCCGTCAACAAGCACCTCTACGCGTCCGTTGAGGTATGCAGGCAATGTTTTATTGTAACACCGTCCCCTGATAAACCTTCATGTTGCGAAACTTGACTATCTGAAATGCTGAGATGTGCTGTCTGTTACTTCCTCCTCCCCTCGCCCCCTCCCCCCTTCCCCCGCTCCCCTCTTCCGCTTCCGCTCTCTTGCGTGGCCTTAACCACTCTCTTCCCGGCGACACGTCTTAAGGCTGCTCGCGAGCACGAATTTGGACGTGCTGTCAGCCTGCATCCAACCCCTCGCAGTGTACAGCAAGAAGCACACCTACCCATCTCCCCCTTTCCCTTCCCCTCCCTCCCCGCTCCCTCCCCCCTCCCCCATCCCCACCCCTCCCCTCCTCTCCTCCGCACAGCACGTGTGCACGCTGCTCGCGAGCACGGACCTGGACGTGCTGTCAGCGAGTCTCGAGCTGCTCTCAGTGTACGGCAAGAAGCCCTTCCAGCCAGGTCGCAGCACGCGCTGGCATGCGGATCCCGCCATCACAGCGCGCCTCTTCGCCCTCGCGCAGGCATGGGGCGGCAAGGAGGAGGGCCTTGGCATGCTGCCCTGCGCGCTCCAAGGGGGCCTGGACGCGTCCGCTCTGTCCCTGGGAGGGACGTTGCACTTTGAGTTTTATGCGGAGGGGCCTGCTGGAGTGGGGGCGGTGGGGCAGGGTCAGGGGCTGGGTGGGAGCGGTGGAGAGGGATTAGAGGGTCAAGAGGACAAGGCTGGTGAGGCATTGGCTGGTGCTCCCTCCGCTTCGCCCTCTCCTGCTGCACCTGCCGCTGCTTCGACAGGTCTATCACCTGGTTTGAGGGTCATCCACGTGCCTGGGGTGCAAGAGCACGTGCAGCTGCAGGGAATCTCCGAGCTCGACTTTCTCCAGGGCCTGGTGGATCAATACTCCGTGCCCTCCGCCCTCCGCTTCTCCCTCCTCACCCGCCTCCGCTGCGCCTACTCCTTCCCTCTCCTCGCCTCGCGCCGCCGCTTCCTCTGCGTGCGCCTGCTGGCCTTCCGAGTGCTGCTGCTCGCCACACCAGACCCGGACGAGCTCACTGCCTTCTTTGCCAACGAGCCTGAGTTCGTCCCGGAGCTAATTTCACTGCTCAATGCGGAGAGCCTGGTGCCTGAGGAGGTTCGGATGTACGCGCTGCTAGCCCTGGCTGCCATGGCGCAGGACCGGCCACGCCAGTCCACGGTCCTCAGTGCCATCAGCACTGGCGGGCACCGAGCCACCTTGCCAAGCCTGATGCAGAGGACCGTGGCTCAGCTTGGGAAACCAGGAGGCTGCTCGCCGAAATTTGTTGACGCGCTGCTGGTCCTCATTGCTGCGCTGGTATCCTCCTCGTCGGGTTGCACCGCTCTTCGGGAGGCAGGCTTGGTGCCGACCCTGCTGCCTTTGGTTCGGGACACCAAGCCTGAGCACATGAGTCTGGTGACATGGTCAGTGCAGATCCTAGAGGCCTTCATGGATTTCTCCAACCCTGCAGCAGCACTCTTTAGGGAATTGAACGGGCTAGACATGTGCGTGGACAGACTCAGGCTCGAGGTCGCTCGAGTTGAGACCACTCTCCTGCCTGTTCAGGGTTTAGGGTCTAGCAAAACCCTGGCTGCTGGTGCAGCTGAGGGTGCTGGTGAGGGGACTGCTGGTGGGGGGAGTGGCAGTGGCTCGGCTGGTGCAGGAGCCACTGGTATGGATGAGGATCGCAAGGGCAAGGCTCCGATGGTGGAAGAGGAGGGTGCAGGACGGGGAGCAGGCGTAGGGTCGAGCGGCGGCGCTGGTACAGCATCACCTCCTGCTGCTGGCGGATCCGCTACAGCGCCAGCAGTGCTGACCTACCGGCAGCGCAGCCTGATTAAAGCCCTGCTGCGCGTCATCTCTCTGGTCAGCTTCGCACCAGGCAGCACTGTCAGGCTCGCCTCAGCCTCCCCCGAGCAAGGGGGCATGGGACGGCTGCCGGACTGCCTGGCGGCCGTGTTTCGGCACGCGAAGGAGTTCGGAGGAGGCGTGTTTGCGCTGGCAGCGTCGGTGATGAGCGAGCAGATCCACCACGAGCCCACCAGCTTCGCTGTGCTGGATGCTGCCGGGCTGCCCAAGACGTTTGTGGACGCTGTCAAGGCTGGTGAGTGCGCTGTGTGTGGGTGTGTCCAGCTTGTTGTGTTTGTGCTTGTGCTTGTGCTCGTGCTTTACGCCATAGCACACAAGTAACTCATCCACAGACACAAGCACAGAGAGAGGGGTGCTTTACGCCATAGTCTGATGCCATCCCCAACACACTGCTTGTCATCTTTTTTTTAGGCGCCTCCAATGCGTTAGTCTTCTGGTTCCCCCGCACTCCCCTCCCTCCCTCCCTCCCTCCCTCCCTCCCTCCCTCTCCCTTTCTCCCTTCCTGCAGGTGTGCTGCCGTCGTCAGAAGCCATCTGTTCCATCCCCAACGCTCTCCTCGCCTTCTGTTTTCGTTTCGACCCCCACTTCTCTTATCCCCCTAAATCCCTCCCTCCCCTCCTTTCCCCCTTCCCAGGCGTGTTACCGTCGTCAGAAGCCATCTGCGCCATCCCCAACGCGCTGCTCGCCTTCTGCCTCAACCAGCGCGGACTACAGCTCGTCACAGACTCCCACGTGCTCGCCTGCCTGCCCGCCCTCTTCACCTCGCGCCAGTACGCGCGCCCCCTGGCGGGGGACACCGCGTCCGTGCTGGGATCCGGGCTGGACGAGCTCATGCGCCACCAGGTGAGCCTCCGCCAGCCCCTCATGGGCGCCGTTGTGGGCGCCCTTAGGGAGATTGCGCGCATGGGGGGCCTGGAGGAGCGGAAGGGGAGGCGAGGGGGAAGGGGAGGGGGGGAGGGAGGGGACTCGTGGGAAGGGGAGATGCGGGGAGGAGGGGATGGTGGGGGGGAGGAGGGGGTGAGGGCGAAGGAGGATGATGCGGATAGCGGGAGGCCGGTGGGGAGTGGCGGGGGCGGGGAGGAGGGGGCAGCAGGAGTGGGACAAGGAACAGGGGGAGGGACATCAGGGGCGGGTGCATGTGGTGCGGGTGCGTCAGGGGAAGGCGCACAAGGGCAAGGTAGCAGACAGGATGGGGAGGGTGACGCGGCTGTGCCCATGGAAACAGATGGGGGGAACCAGGGGGCAGAGGCAGAAGCAGCAGCAGCAGCGCCAGTCGCTGCAGCAGCCACAGGGGAGCAGCCACGGGTTGAGACCGAGGAGGGCCAGAGTGTGTCTCCAGGACTAGCAGGGGAGGCACTGGCTTCTGGCGTGGTTGCAGAAGAGCCGGCGGTAGAGACAGCGGGAGCTGGATTGGCGGTTCCTGGTTCGGAAGCAGTTATGGCCGAGGCAGAACCGGCAGAACCGGCAGAAGCAGGAGCAGCAGGAGAGGCAGCAGGAGCAGGAGCAGCTGGGTCGGCAGGTACTGGGGCAGCTGCTGCTACCACCGCTGTCACCACCACTGCCACCACCACAAGCAGCGTCAAGGAGACGCTCACCCCAGCAGAGCTAGAGGCGTTCCTCCCAGACTGCATCAGCAACATGGCTCGCCTGCTGGAAGCCGTTCTCTCCAACGAAACCAGCAGCCGCGTCTTCCTTGACCTCCGTGGCCTGGACGCACTCCTAGCACTCTACACACTGCCGCGCCTGCCGCTGCTCTTCGGCACGTCCCCTGCTGCCCAGGGGATCTCCATGACCATGAGGGCGTTCGGGCCCAGCCACGCCTCTGCTGTGTCCCGCGGGGTGGCGTCCACACTCAAGAAGCATGTCAAGTGTGCCGTCGCGTTTGTCACTACGTCCCTCTCTTCGTTCTCCCCTGCTACCGCACCTCCTGCCTCTGATGCTGTGGGTGCTGCTGCCACAGCGGCTTCAACAGTCCCTGCTGCTGCTGCCGCTGTACCAAGTGGTGCTGCTGCAGGAGCTTCAGGTGCAGGCTCATCTGCAGTAACAATCGGGCGGCGCCAGTTGTCTGACCTGGACGTGGAGTCACGGGAGTCGCTCCTGCGCGCCCTGGGAGTAGCAGAGAGCCTGCTCTCGCTCTCCGCCGTGCTAGTACGCGCCACTGCTCTCTCTGTCCCCGACCTCGCGTCGTCCAGCGGAGAGGTGTTCCGAGACGTGGCTGTGCTTCACAGAGAGGCGCTCTGGCAGCTCGCCGTGCTGGAGCACAAGGGAGTGCCGCCTCCTGCCACCGCCGCCGCTTCTTCTGCTGCTGCTGCTGCTGCAGAGGCTGGGGGGAGTGTAGGGGGAGGAGGAGCAGGGGGAGGAGAGGGAGCAGGTGAGGGCGGAACGGCTGTTGGAGGGTCAGGGGCAGGGGGGGAAGCAGGGCAGGGTGTGGGCTCTGAGGGAGGAGCTGCACCAGGAGCGGCAGCTACAACTGCTGCCACCGCAGCTGCATCATCTGCTGCTGCACCATCCGCAGGACCTTCAGAGGCAGCTGAACCTGGCACAGCAGCAGTAGCTGGAGAAGGTGCAGCAGGGGGAGCAGCAGCGGCAATGCAGGTATTCCCAGGGGAGGCAGCAGATGATTTGGATTTGCTGATGATGGACGGTGACGTGGGCTCTGGCAGGGTCATGCGCAACGGCCCAGGCGCCCTCTGGCCCCGTGGAGAATTAGGGTTTCCGCACCGCAGCGGCAGCAGGCACCTCTCACGCGCCTCTCGCGTTGTGCCTGATGGTACAGGCCCTGATAATGGTCCTGAGGCAGGGGTGAGCGGCGCTGCTGATGCTTCTGCCGCTGCCGCTGGTTCAGCTGGTGCGGGGACCACAGATGCTGCGGGGAGGAAGAAGCCAGATGGTGCCGTACAGAAGGAGGTGCTTGGGCGGCTAGTAGTGGCCGTGCGTCTGTTTGAAGTAGCCGTTGGGAAGGGGATAGTTCCTTCTCGAAGGCGGGACGATGCTGTGGTGCTGACAGGGCATGCGAAGGTGGCCTCAGCAGCCCTCGCACAGACCTTCCAGGAGAATTTAGGTTTAGGGTTTGCCGGGTGCGACCCGGGGAGGAGCAGCAGTGTGGAGGCGTGCTCTAGTGAGGAGATACTGGATTGTCCGGCAGTGCGGTGTGTGTATCTGGGGAAGATTGTGGATGATATGTTTTCGCTGATAGTTGATCCGCGGCGGCACACGTGCAACAGCATGCTGCTGAGATTCTTCCACGCGCATGGGGCTGTGAAGCAGCTGTTTGCGTCGCTGCAGTGGGTGGTGCGGGTGATGTGGGCCGAGCAGGAGCGGCAGGTGAAGGAGCGGAAGGAGAAGGCTGAGGGGGGCGAGAAGGAGAAGGCAGAAAAGGAAGCGGGCAGTGTGGGAGTAGAGGTAGCAGGAGGTACAGTGGCTCAGATGGAAACGGATGGGTCAACCGATGCAGCAGCAGCAGCAGCAGTAACGGGGGAGAAGAAGAGCGCAGGTGACGGCTCTAAGGATGGGGGCAACAAGGGCACGGGTTCTCTTGTGGGATCCGGTTCCTTTTCGCTGCCTCCGTGGCTGCACTCCCCTCTGCAGAGCTATTTCCGTCTCATGGACTGCCTCACCAACTCCCACCTCCTGCTCGCCCCCTCCTCCACCAGCATTTTCCTCACCCACCAGCTCTCCCGCTCAGTTGAACCCGCCCCAGCTAAGCCTGAGGACTTCCTTCGGGCCATGCAGTCGCAGGTGCTATCTATCATGCTGGACGTTTGGTCCCACCCGCTCTTCTCCCAGTCTGGTCTTGCTGTTATCTCCCCGGTGGTGACTCTGCTCACCCGTGTGCTTCAAGGGTTGAGTGAAACCGCTCCAGCAGCAGCAGGGGGTTCTGCTGCTGCTGCTGCTGCGGGTGCAGGGACTGGTGCAGGGGCAGGTGCAGGAGCGGGCGGAGCGGCAGCAGCAGGGGCAGGAACAGGGGCAGGGGCAGGTGGAGCGAGCAGCGCAGGGGGGCAGGGAGGTGCAGCAGTGTCCGCAGCTGCCCTGGCTGCTGCGGTGCTGGGAGGGCGGATGCCGCCTGGACCTGTACCCACTCCAGTAGATGAGGCTTTAGTGGAGCTGATAGTAGAAATGGGGTTCCCTAGGGAGCGGGCAGAGGAGGCCTTGCGGCAGGTGGGGAACAATCTAGATCTCGCTATGGAGTGGCTCATTAGCCATGTGCCAGATGAGCCTCCCTCGGAAGAAGACGAGCTCGCCCGCGCGCTCGCTTTGTCTCTTTCTGGTAATGATGGGGACGGCGGAGGTGGGACTAGTGCGGGTGGGCAGCAGGGTGGGGAGGAGGGAGCAGGTAAGGCAGGAGAAGGGAAAGAGGGGGAGGAGAAAGGGAAGGGAAAAGAGAAGGAGAAGGAGGAGAAAGAGGAGGAGACGGGAGGAGAGAAGGAGGGGCGGAAGGAGGTGAGGGTGGAGGAGATGTTGGGGACGATAGTGCGGGTGTTGAGGGACGGGGGGGAGGGCGCTGTGTTTCCCATGACCGACCTCCTGCTCGCACTCAGCAGGCGCAACGCTGGCACAGACAGGGCTGCTGTCGTGACGTTTCTGGTGGGGCAGCTGAAAGAGTCCTGCGGGCAGGCGAAAGAATCCCCTAGCCGCGTGGAGAGTGAGAAGCAAGGCAGCAGCGAGGGAAAAGATTGCAGAGCAGAGAAAAGGGAGGAGGAGAAGGCTGCTGCTGCTGGTTTACCATCTTCGCTGCAGGCCTTGCAATCCGCCTTGGCGCACTGCTTGGCTGTGCTGCTCTCAGAAGACCTGCCCTGCTCGGACATAGCAGCCAAGGAGGGCCTCGCTGCAGTTGCTCTTCACATGCTCTCTGGGTACGTCTCGTCTGTCTGCCCCGACTACCACCCCCCGACTCTCCCTCTTGCTGCACTCGCCTCACCTCCCAGTAAGAGCCGGTCGCAGCAGCACGGCAGTGCGGGGGTGGCGGGTCAGCGGGTAGAGGGTAAAGCAGGTGCGGATGAGGTGACAGGGGGGAAAGGAGGGCAAGGGGGAGAGGGGCGTGAGGGGCTTGGGGAGGTGCCCAAGTGGGTGCCGTCTCTGTTCCTGGTGCTGGACTCCCTCGTGCAATGGAAGGTGCCTGGCACAGGGGTACGAGGGGAAGCAGGTACAGCAGTGGCAGCGGGAGCAGCGGGAGCATCAGGGGCAGCAGGGGCGACAGCAAGCACATGGGGAGCGGCAGCAGCAGATGCACCTATCTCCTTCGCGTCTATACTGGCAGGTGTTGCAGGTGGGGCAGGAGCAGCAGCAGCGGATCCAGGTGCAACCGCTGCAGCACCTTCCGAGCCAGCTGGTACTGGTGCAGCTGCTGCTGCCGGGGCGTCACAGGCTCCATCCGGGGCAGGTGTATCTGCCACGGCCGCCCCAGCAGCCAGCAAGGGCAAGGAGGCAGCAGAGGCAGAGAAGCGAGAGGGCAAGGAGGAGAACCGGTTCACAGAGATCGTGGGGCTGTCAACAGGGTACCTATCAGACGACGAGAAGGCCCAAGCCATGGCCCTCATCTGCCCTCTCATCCGCTGCCACCCCCCACCGTCTCTCTGCCAGGCTCTCCTCCACCTCGCCTCCCGCCTCTCCCGCTCGCACCCCGTCGCCCTCCTCTTTCTGGACCAGGGTGGGGTGGCGGCGCTTCTCGCCCTCCCGTTCTCTTCGATTTTCCCGGGGTTTGAGAGTCTCGTGTCGGCGGTGGTGCGGCATGTGCTAGAGGACCCGTTCACGCTGCTGCATGCTATGGAAGCGGAGATCAGGCACAGCCTCACCACGCTGGCAACTCAGCATGGGGGCCGTGTGTCCCCTCGTGTGTTCCTGGGCGCTATGAGTCCTCTTGTCGCCCGTGATCCGTCCGCGTTTCTGCAGGCGGTGGGGAATGTTTGTGAGGTGGAGAGCATTGGTGGGCGGCAGGTGGTGGTGCTGAAACGGGAGAAGGAGAAGGAGAGGGAGAAGAAGGAGAAGGAGGAAAAGGAGAAGGTGAGGGAGAAGGAGAAAGGGAAGGAGAAGGGGGTGGGAGAGAGGGAGCAGAGAGCAGGAGCAGCACCAGAAGCAGCAGCAGCTGCAACACCAGGGCAACCAAGCACCTCTGCTGCTCCAGCCCCAGCTCCAGGCCAGACCGCTCACCACCACTCCTCACCACTTGCAACCTCTCCGCAAACCTCTCCTCCGCCGCCCCATCCCCCTACTGGTCACTACAGCAAGTCAGCGGATGGCAAGGTGCTGACGTGGGTGTCAAAGTCAGGGCGGGTGCGTAAGGTCCCCTGGAGCTTCGCCTCTGTGGTTGACCAGCTCCTGACATACCTGCAGCAATTCCCGCCACCTGAAAAAGCACCTGTGAAAGCATCTGAAAAAGCACCTGTGAAAGCATCTGAAAAAGCACCTGGGAAGCTGCCTGAGGGGCATGGGGCAGCTGCAATGGAGGTTGGGGTTGGTGGTGGTCTGGGAGGGGAGGCAATGGAGGTGGACGCAGAGGGGGTTGAGAATAAAGCAGCTGAAAGAGGAGAGAAGGAAGGGGAGAAGGAGCCAGGGAAGGAGGAGAAAGAGAAGGCAAAGCAGCGGCAGCAGGAGGAGGAGGAGAAGGAGAGGGCGGAGTTTGCAATCTCGCGAACCACGCTGGTGCTGCGGCTGCTCACAGAGATCCTACTGGCCTATTCTGCTGCCAGCACTCTCGTGCTCCGCAGGGATGCAGAGTCTGCTGCATGCACTTCAGCAGCAGCGGTGGGTGCAGGTTCGGGTGCATCAGCCGGGGTGGGCACGCCACAGCCGCACAGGGGAACCACGTCCCGTGCACACAAGCACACTCCAGACAAGCACGAACACAAATCCAAACCTGACTCCCACCAGCACCACCAACTACAGCCTTCACCAGGTAAGCCTGACGCATCAGCAGGCGTCTCTGCATCGGCATGGGCATCTCGAGGGGGCATAGTGCACCACGTGTTACACGAGCTGCTGCCATACCTCAGCGACAAGCCCAGCACCGCATCAGCATCAGCAGGAAGCACAGCAACAGCGCAGGGCGGGTCCTCCCACCCAGGGCACCACCGGCTGGGCACCCAGGCGTCTGCATTCCTCATTGCGCTGTGCGTGCGCTCGGGGGAGGGCCGGCGCCGCGTGCTCTCGGAGATTTCCAAGTCGCTGAGCCGGTTTGGGAAGGAGGATGGGGGGAGGACAGGAGAGGTGCGGCAGCAGGAAAAGGCAGGAGCAGCTTTGACAGGAGAAGCAGCTGCAGCAGGAGCAGGAGCAGCAGGTGGAGTAAGGGAAGGTGGGGCAGCAGTGGTTCCGGGTACAGAAGCAGCTGCAGTTGCGGCTGTGAAGCTGCAAGTGCCCAACAAGCAGGTGAGGTCGTTCCTTGACCTCATGAACGCGCTGCTCTCCACGCAATCGTCCAATGGGAGCAATCCACCTGGCGGCCCGGGCAGCTCTGCACAAGGCTCCGCCTTCGCTGCAGAAATGGCCAAGACGGCTCTTGAAGTGGGCATGCTGCCAAACCTCCTGGAGACTCTGAGTGTAATTGATCTAAACCACCCAGATTCCCCGAAGCTGGTGAATTCGATCCTCAGGGCTCTGGAGGTGCTCACTCGAGCCTCAGCTTCGGAAGCTCGTGCCGAGCCTGGGAGAGGTCTGGCATCAGGGCAGCGTGTTTCCGTGGGTGTAACCAGGGCTGTAGGTTCGGGAAGGCAGGAAGCAGGCTCGGCAGGGGCTGGAGGGGTGCCGAGCCAAGCAGCAGCGGACGGGGGTGCAGCGGTGGCGGAAACAGGTGCGGATAGGGGGACAGAAGAAGGAGGTGGGGCAGCAGGTGGGGCTGATACAGCCATGGATGATGCTGGGGGGGAGGGAGGGAGAGTAACGGCGTCTGGAGGTGAAGAGGCAGGAGCAGACGCTGGGAGTGGGAGGATGCGAGGGGGTGATGAGGAGGCGAGGCAGCAGGGAGGGGAGGAGACAGGTGGAGCAGGGGCGGAAGGGGGACGTGCAATGGAGCAGGATGAGAGGCATGGGGGGGAGGAGGAGGAGGAGGAAGGGGGGATGGCGCATGAAGCAGAGGCGATTATAAGAAGAGTGGAGGGCGGAGGGGGCATGAGAGGGCCCATGCAGCTGCGGTTCCAGATCCGAGAATTTGATGATATGGGCGCGGATGAGGATGGGGATGAGGATGATGATGGGGACATGGAGGGAGAGGAGGATGGGGAGGACGATGACGATGGGGAGGATGATATTGAGGATGGGGATGAGGAGGATGAGGAGGAGGGGATGGAGGAGGGGGATGAGGAGGACGAGGATTTGGAAGAGGAGGAAGATGAGGAGGAGGATGATGATGATGAGGATGACGAGGATGAAGAGGAGGAGGATGGGCATGGAGGGGAGGACAACGGGCATCTGCCCCCAGGTGGCATGGGCATGGGGGAAGACATGGAGGACCATGAGGAGGAGGAGGAGCGCGCAGCCCGGGCCTTGCGGCGCGACTTTGCACGTGGGCTGGCAGAGGAGGATGAGGAGGAGGATGATGGGGATGAGGATGATAATGATATGGATGAGGATGAGGAGGAGGCTGATGAGGAGGATTTGGAGGACTGGGAGGAGGACGGCGGGAGGTTTATAGAGGTGAGGTGGCGGGACGATGTCACGGGAGCCAATCACGTGCATCTGCTCGCAGGCGGTGCAGATGTCGCCGGGTTGATGGACCTTCCGGGGTTTATGCAGCGGGATGTGTTGAATGATCCGCTGTATGCGGATATGAATGAGCCGGTGTGGGGGTGGGGGCGGCACTTAGCGAGTCACCAGCGCAGGGCTGCGGTGAGAAGCACGCTGCAGGGCCAGCAGCAGCTGGCGCAGGGGCAGGGCGCGGGGCAGGGGCAGGCTGGCCGGATGGGAGCAGGCCCCTTGCACGTACACCCACTGCTGGCTCGCCCATTCGCCCCTGGGGCAGCACCGACAGACGCTGCCTCTGCGTCTGCCCCTGCCCACGCCGCTGCAGCACCGGGATCACGGCTCTTCAACCTCCTGGCGGGGATGCAGGGGATGATGGGGGGAGTGGGCGGGCCGATGGGGGCTGGCGGGGGGGGAGGGCCAGGCATGGAAGTAGATGCGGCATTTGCGAGGGATGTGGCGTCTCTAATGATGGCGTATGAGAATCCTTTCCTGGAAGACATGCTGCAGGCCCGGGGCCTGCTTGACCCTCGTGGCATGGGCGGCATCATGGGCGGCATGGGCGGCGTGGGCGGCATGGGGATAGGGCATCCGTCGGGAGTGGAGTTTGATCCGGGGAGGGCGAGGGCGATGGGGGTGAGTGGGCTGGGGCCGGTGGTGGGAGGGGCAGCGGGGCGAGGGGAGTTTGGGAGGGTGAATCGGTGGACGGATGATGGGCTGCCGCAGCCTGCCGGGACGGGTGCTGCTGTTGCTCAGGCGCTGGAAAGTGCTTTCCTACAGTCCATGCAAGGGTTGCGCGAGGCAGGGAGAGGGGGAGGGAGGGAGGGAGGAGAGGCGGGGGGCCAGAGAGGTGGTGGTGCGGGGAGGAATGGGGAGAGGCAGCAGGGGAGGGGGACGGGAGGAGAGGAGCAGCAGCGGCAGCAGGGGGCGGGGCAGGAGGAGGGGCAAAGGGAGCAGGAGAGGGAGGTGAGGCAAGCTGGTAGTGGGGCGGCAGGGGCAGGAGGAAGTGGTGGGGCGACTGCAGGAGCAGCAGCAGAAGCTGCTGCGGCAGAAGCAGCAGCAGCAGGAGAGCAGGCAGGTGCCGACACCACTCAGACTGGTACAGGAACAGGAGCAGAGGCAGAAGCAACAGCAGTAGCAGCAGCTGCAGCAGCAGGTACGGAATCAGGTAGAGGAGCAGAGGAGGAGGGCATTGCAGCAGGAGACGTGCAGATGGGCGAGAGAGGGAGTGAGAGGGAGAGGGAGGCAGAGGCAGAGGTGGAAGTGGCAAGTCAGGACAGTGGGGGGAGTGGGTTCACGGCTGGGGAGAGCCTGAGGAGCCTGGAGGTGGAGGTGGGGAGCATAGACGGGCGGGATGATATGCTGCTGCCTGGTGCCGCTGCTGGTGCTGCCCCGCCTGCTGCTCCTGCTGCCGCCGCTGCTGCTGTTCTTGTTGCTCCTCCCCCTCCCCATCTTCCTCCTGCTATAGCTGGGCTTTCTGCTGCTACAACTGGGTTTTCTGCTATGGCAACTGGCCTTTCTGCTGCTACAGCTGAGCTTTCTGCTGCTACAGCCGGGCTTTCTGCTGCTACGACTGGGCTTTCTTCTGCTGCAGCGGCTACAGCTGCTGCTCCAGCTGTGCCAGGCGCAGAAGGAGAGGCAGTGCCAGCTGCAGCAGCTGCTGTGCCTGCTGGTGATGCTGCTGGCAGGGACGCAGAGCAGCAGGTCGGAGAGGGAGGCACACCAACGCAGGCACTGGCAGTTGCTGGGGCAACGGCAGGAGAGACGGCACAAGGAGCAGCAGTGGTAGACGCTGCAGGGGTGACTGCTATGGAAATGGGAGAGCCAATCTCAGCTGCTGAGGGGGGGATTACTCCTTCCCTTGCTGCTGCTGGTGATGCTGCAGCAGCGGAAGCAGCAGCAGGAGTGGCAGAAGCAGGAGAAACGGTTACAGTGACCGAAGTTGAAGGGGAAGCAGCTCCTGCTAGTGCTGGCGCCATGATTTCTGATGCTGCTGCTGCCACTGCTCCCACAGCTCCGGCGACCAATGCTGCAGCAGCTGGGGCGTCAGGTGCTGCTTCAGGTGCTACAGCAGGTGATACATCAGGTGCTGCAGCAGCAGGTGCTCCAGGTGGTGCAGCAGGCACGAGCACAGGTGGAGCAGCAGCAGACGAGGAGGAGGATCTTCCGGAGATCGACCCAACCTTCCTGGAAGCTCTACCGGAGGACCTAAGGGCAGAGGTACTAGCCTCCTTCCACGTGGAGCGAGCTGCCAGGCAGGCCCGCCAGAGACGCGCCCAGCAGCAGGCCGCACAGCCACAGGGGCAGGGGGGGGGAGGCGCAGCAGGGGGAGGAGCAGGGGGAGCAGAGGGCGCCAGGGGCGCAGGGGGAGCAGGGGGAGCAGGGGGAGTGGGTGGGGCGGGAGCAGGAGGAGGAGCAGCAGCAGGGTTGGGAGGGGAGGACACGGGGGAGCTGGATCCGGAATTCTTAGCAGCGCTGCCACCGGACATTCAGGCGGAGGTGCTGGCACAGCAGCAGGCGCAGCAGCTCATGGCTGCAGCAGCAGCAGGTGCAGATGGGCATCCTGTGGACATGGATAGTGCGTCTATCATTGCCACATTCCCTGAGGAGCTGCGAGCAGAGGTCCTGCTGACCTCATCGGAAGCAGTGCTGGCATCGCTCCCGCCCGCCCTGCTAGCGGAAGCCCAGCTGCTGAGAGAGCGAGCCATGCAGCAGCAGTACTCTGTTAGGCACCAGCACCCCGCACACCCCCACCACGCCATCTTCGGCGGTCCCATCCGCCGCTCTCCCGCTCTTGCTGGCGGTACCACCGCCCACCGCCGCCCGCCGCACCCGTTCGCTGTGGCTGCTGGGGAGGGCGGTGTGGGAGAATTCACCAGGGGGTTCATTGCCGCGGGGATGGGGAGGAGGGAGAGGGAGAGCGCAGGGGCTGGGGCGGGGACGGGGGCGGGGGGAAGTAAAGGTGGTGGGGAAGGGGGAGAGGAGGAGAAGGCGCCTGTGGTGGATGAGAGGGCGCTCAAGGCGCTCATTCGCCTGCTGCGCATCTCCCAGGTGGGTTTCTGTGATTGCTGCCCCCCACATTCACAATCTGTGACACTGCAAGGTTGCCTTCCTTGATAGTAATTACCATTTTTCCTCTTGTCTTTCTCATCCCAACTTTTTTTACCCGTTTCACCCCACCTCTCCCACCCGCCCCCCCTTACCCCCCACCAGCCGCTGCAAAAGGCCCTGCTGCCGCGTCTACTGACCAACCTCGCCTCCCACGCCACCACCCGTGCAGCCCTTGTGCGCATCCTGCTAGATCTGCTGCGCCCCGATGCCGATCCAACGGACCAGCACCCCACAGGGCAGCATCCAACGGACCAGAATGCAGCAGCCGTGCCAGGTGCTGCAGCATCTGCAGCGGAAGGCAGTCAGGCTGCACCACCTGCAGCACCTGAAACGCCTGCAGCACTTGGAGCGGCTGCAGCTGTTGAGGGTGTGGGTGAGGGTGGGGTAGCAGCAGACGGCGCACCACCACACCAGCTGTACTGCTGCCAGTCCAACGTGGTGTATGCTCGACCGCAGCGCCCCAACAGTGAGTTTCTCGCCTTGCATGCTGTAGACTCAATGGCTCAAGGGCTCAAGGGTGTGCGTGAGGGTGCGCATGCGGGTGGGGTAGCAGCAGACGGTGCCCCACCATACCAGCTGTACTGCTGCTAGTCCAACGTGGTGTATGCTCGACCGCAGCGCCCCAACAGTGAGTCGCTTGCCTTGCGGGCTCAAGACGTAAGGGTTAGACGGCTGGGCACTTCTTGCTGGGCTTCTTCCTATGCCTGAACCACCCTCATTTCCATCTCCTTGCAACCCGTTCTTCCCAATGCTCTTCTTCCCCCTTCCCTTCCCTTGTAGGCATTCCTCCCCTTGTCTCTCGCCGTGTGCTGGAGCTGCTGGTGTACCTGTCGCGCCACTCCATGGCTGCCACGCAGCTGCTGCTGCTCTTCCCCTCCGCGCTCACTCGCTTGGCTCAGCAGCAGCGGGAGGAGCGGGAGCGGGCAAAGGAACGCAAGGGCAAGGCGAAGGTGGCGGAAATAACAGAGGATTCTGCAGGGGGAGTGGCAGGAGGAGCAGCAGGAGGAGCAGCAGGAGGAGCGGCTAAAGCAGAGGAGTCGGTGGAGACGGGTGTTGTGGGCAGGGGAACGAAGGGGAAGAGAAAAGAGGGTGTTGATGGGGAGGCGGAGGAGGAAGGGGGAGAAGGGGGAGAAGGGGAGGTGCCGTTTGTGCTGATGCTGCATCTGTTGAGACAGCCTCTGTACCTGCGTAGCTCGCCCCACTTGGAACAGGTCCGTGCAACGCCACTTGTCTAGGTCCGTGCAACGCCACTTGTCTAGGTCCGTGCAACGCCACTTGTCTAGGTCCGTGCAACGCCACTTGTCTAGGTCCGTGCAGGGCAGTGCAGCTGCTGAGTCTCATGGAGGTGGTAGTTGGCGCAGCAGCAGAGTCAACTTTGTCTTATGGAGGGGTCAGCCCTCTTGCTGTTGCTCATCTCTCCTCCCCACTTTCCCCCCTTTCCCCCCGTTACCCCTATGCGTGTGTTTGTGTATGCCCTGCAGCTGCTGGGTCTCATGGAGGTGGTAGCTCGGGCAGCAGCAGAGGAGGCTCTCAATGCTGCCGCTGCTGCTGCTGCTGCTGCCACACCTGCCAATGTTGCTGCTGCCACGCCTGCCGCTACTGCTGCCACTGCAACGCCAGCTATCGCTGACGGTACTGCCACTGCTGCCGCTGGTGCGGCTGTCCCTGCCGATGCTGCTAGACCTGAGGGGCAAGTAGCAGGAGAATCGCCAGCAGCAGCAGCAAGTGCAGCAGTGGAGAATGCATCCGCAGCAGCAGCAGGAGCAACAGGAACAACAGGAGCAGCAGGAGGAGCAGGGGTGGCAGGAGATGGTGCTTCAGGCCCTGCCGAGGCAGTGGCAGAGGCTCGGATGGAGGGTGGTTCAGGTCCGGGGACTGCCGAGGCTGGATCTGCGGGTGGGGATGTAGAGATGGGAGAGAGGGAGAGAGAAGACGGAGGGGAGGGGCAAGCAGGGCAGGAGGGGCAGGAGGGGCAGGAGGGCAGAGAGCAACTAAGTGAAACCCAAGAAGGAGCTCCAGCAGCTGCGGCAGAGACTGCAGCAGCGGCAACAACAGCAGCTGCAACAGCCGATGCGGCCGCTCTTTTAACTGGAACAGATACTGCTACTGCTCCCTCGGCTGCTGCTACCATCCCACCCGCTTCCACACCCACATCCCCTCCCACCAGCACGGCACAACCCCCTGCCTCCGCTGCTCCACCCGCTCCCCCAGTGCCCATCCCAGTGACAGTCTTCCTCCGCATTCCCCACCCTGACCTCCGCATTCTCTCCCAGCTGCTCGCCCAGGAGGGCCTCTCAGACGCCTCCTACTCGCGTGCTGTGGCTGTGCTGAGGCTGGTTACTGCTGTGGTTCCCAAGTACCGCGCACTGTTTGTTGCTGACCTGGCAGAGGCGGCACGCCAGCTCAGCTCGCCGGCCACGCGGGAGTTGCTAGAGGTGGTGGAGGGGGCGGATGGTGGGGAGGGTGGGGGAGAGGAGGGAGCAGGTGCAGGTGTAGGATCAGCAGGAGTAGCAACGGAGAGTGAGAGAGCGAATATGGAAGGGCAGGAAGGAGCAGCAGAAGCAGCGGCATCTCAAACACCACCAGCAGCGCCATCAGCGCTAGCTGCTGTAAGCGGCAAGCCATGGGGGCTGACTAGAGCAGGAGCAGCCACTCTCCGTGTGCTCAAGACCCTCACCTCCCTCCTCTCACAACCCGCCTCCTCCCTCCCACCCGCCTGGGATGGTGACTTCCCCTCAGGACCAGCATCCGAGGCAGAATGCCAGGCTGTCATAGCTGACCTGGTCACATCGCTCCACCCTCTCTGGCAAGTCCTATCCGAGTGCTGTGGCAAGCTTGAGACTCGGTACAAGAAACACCCGGCCCTGTCCGCTTCGCCCGGGCCTGCAGGTTCGGCGGCGGAGGGCGCGGCAGGCGTGGGAGGAGGGGCGGCAGGGGGAGGTGCTGTGCCGCCGCTGCCATCAGCAGCACAGCAACTGTTACCGTTTGTAGAGTCTTTCTTTGTGTTGTGTGACAAGACAAGCAACAAGGGGAAGGGTGCTGCTACTGGGGGAGCCGCTGCTGCTCCTGATACTACTCCTGCTGCTGCGGATGCTTCAGCTGCTGCTCCTTCTTCGGTCCCTGCTGGTCCTGCTCCCGGCTCCAGTACTGCAGCAGCAGCAATATCAGCAGAGGCTGCTGCACAACCAAGCTCCACCCATCCCATCACTCCATCAGTCTCACTTGAACCGCTCCCTGCCACTGCCACCGCCTCAGCAACCACGCCCATCCCCTCCTCCTCCTCCATCCCCTCCTCCTCGTCCTTCTCCTCCACCTCGCCCTCCTCTGCTCTCCTGCGCTTCACAGAGCGCCATCGCCGCCTGCTCAACGCGTTCGTACGCGGCAACCCAGCGCTGCTGGAGAGGTCGTTTGCGGTGCTGCTCAAGTGGGCGTGGGTGCTGGACTTTGACAACAAGCGCGCTTACTTCCGTGCGAGGATGAGGCAGCTGCACGAGCAGCCACACTATGGCACGCTGCGCATCACTGTCAGGCGGCCATACATTCTCGAAGATTCATACAACCAGGTGAGAAACCTGAGGTCTTACACTTAAAGCCAGGGGTGGCGTTAGACGTGTCAAAATGGGGTCGATCGTTTGCGGTGCTGCTGCTGTGGTCAAGTTGGCGTGGGTGCTGGACTTCGCCAACAAGCGCGCTTACTTCAGGGCGAGGATGAGACAGACAGCTGCACAAACAGCAGGCGAGGATGAGACAGACAGCTGCACAAACAGCAGGCGAGGATGAGACAGACAGCTGCACAAACAGCCACACTATGGCACACTGCGGATCACTGTCCGACGGCCGTATATCCTTGAAGACTCGTACAACCAGGTGAGAGGATCTGAATGTTGAGGCAATCTTGGGGGCGGCTGAACGTGCACTTCCAGGGGGGGGAGGGCATTGATGCAGGGGCTGAGCAGCGTTAGGGGCACACTATTTATCTCCCCAAACCACCTCTGCCTGCCTACCCCCCCTCTTCCTTTCCCCCCTTTCTCCCCAGCTACGCATGCGCACAACAGAGGAGCTGCAGGGGCGGCTGAATGTGCACTTCCAGGGGGGGGAGGGGATCGACGCAGGAGTTGAGCAGCATTGGGGGCACACGATATATCTCCGCAAACCACCTCTGCCTTCCTAACCTTCCCTTCCCTATCCCACTTCCCCCCATCCTCGGTTCCCCCCCGCTTTCCCCAGCTCCGTATGCGCACAGCGGAGGAGCTACGAGGGAGGCTGAACGTGCACTTCCAGGGAGAGGAGGGCATCGACGCAGGAGGGGTGACGCGCGAGTGGTACCAACAGCTGTCGCGTGTGGTGTTTGACAAGGGCGCTCTGCTCTTCACCACTGTCGGCAACGACACCTCCTTCCAGCCCAACCCTAATAGTGTGCTGCAGCCGGGTCATCTCTCCTACTTCAAATTCGTCGGCCGCGTGGTGAGTGCTGCCTCATGCTGCTGCTACATACATGCTGCTTCCACATGTGCTGCTACATACATGCTGCTTCCACATGTGCTGCTACATACATGCTGCTTCCACATGTGCTGCTACATATGTGATTCTCCTGGTTTCCCCTTCTGTTGACAAGACAACCACTTTTTTAGCAAGAGGGCTGGGAACCATTTTATTGCTCTTCGAACCCCTTCACACACCCACCACTCCCGCAATGCCTGTGTGCAGGTGGCCAAGGCATTATATGATGGACAGCTGCTGGACATGCACTGCATTCGCTCTTTCTACAAGCACATCCTGGGCAGCAAGGTCACTCGATTGCTACCAAACCCTCCATCCCTCTCCCTCCGTCCCCCCGCCTCCTCTTTCCCTTGGGCTCCCCTCCAATGCCTGTGTGCAGGTGGCAAAGGCACTGTACGATGGGCAGCTATTAGACGTGCACTTCACGCGGTCGTTCTACAAGCACATCCTGGGCGCTGAGGTCGATTTGGTCCTCTACAACCCCCTTTTTCCCGTGAACCCCAACCCAACTCCTTTCTGTCACCAGGTGGCAAAGGCACTGTACGATGGGCAGCTATTAGACGTGCACTTCACGCGGTCGTTCTACAAGCACATCCTGGGCGTGAAGGTCACGTTCCATGACATAGAGGCCATCGACCCGGACTATTACAAGAACCTGCAGTGGATGCTCGAGGTGAGGGGGAGAGTGAGGGATTGCATTTGCGTGTGTGAGTGTGGCTCTGCGCATGGGGGAAGTGTGGCTCTGCGCATGGGCGAAGTGTGGCTCTGCGCATGGGGGAAGTGTGGCTCTGCGCATGGGGGAAGTGTGGCTCTGCGGATCCCCCTTATCCCTTCACCCCCCACCCCACTGCTCACCAAAGTGACATCCTGGACCTCACGTTCAGCATGGACACTTGTGTTCACTGTGCCGTCGAATCCTCTATGCACTCACTCCTTTCTCTCCCTTCTCCCTCCCCACGTTGCCACCCCTCAAATCTCACCAGAACAACATCATCAACATGTTGGACGTTCTACATGTGCGCGTTTGTCCCCGGTGCCCTCATGTGTTCTCTCTGCTTTAACCCCCTCTTCTCCCCTCTCTTCCCTCCTCCCCTCCTCTCTCTCTCCTTCAGAAGGACATTAGTACCATCCTGGACCTCACGTTCAGCATGGCCATGTTTGGCACTCGTGCACTCATAAATCCTCTGTGCTCTCCCCCATCTTTTCTTCCTCCTAACTTACCAGAACGACATCAGTGACATCCTGGACCTCACGTTCAGCATGGACGCGGATGAGGAGAAGCGCATTCTGTACGAGCGCACTGAGGTGAGACCGAGGGGCGCTGCTGTTTGCTTGGGCGCGCTGAGGTGAGACAGGTTGGTGGCTAGCGTGGGGTCAGATGGGACATCAGTGGCGTCCTGGACCTCACATTCAGCATGGATGCGGACGAGGAGAAGCGCATTCTGTATGAGCGCACTGAGGTGAGCCGGGGGGGTGACTAGCAGAGGGGCAAAGTAGAGGAGAGCAGTGATGAGGAGAAGCGCATTCTGTACGAGCGCACTGATGTGACA